TTTGATCTAATCACCCTCTTTTCTGTGTAACTCAATGCCATATGTCTTTTAAATGGCTGTCTGTCACTTGTACTGGATTTGTGTATATGCACATATGGGTATTTTTCGTGTGTGTGTAAAATTTAGGTGACGATCATGGACAGGTACAGATAAAACTGATTAAATAGCAAACCTGAAATCAACTGCTTTAATTTTTTGGGAGCTTTTAATTTACCCGTGTGTCTGCAGTTATTGCAGTTTTCCTTTAATATTCTCTGCCTTGGTATTAATATCTGAAGTCTCTACCTATTCTGGCTTTTGTCATGTCTACATGGTTATTTTTGGCTCAGCATAAAGTATATGAGTCTGTGTTTCAGTGTGAGGATATTTAATCACACAGCACATGCTGACACACCAGGCTTAAGAACAAGAGGATCATAAAGTTCAAGAAACACAAAGAAAATAATACTGTATGCATGTCAGCATTATTCTACATTCGACACATTCTGTATGGGGTATAAAGATGTGAATACATCAACTGTATAAAGTTATATTTTAATTTTTTAATCAGGCCTGCCTTTCAATATATGTTAATGTAACATGTGTGATTTAAAGTGCTGCTTCGAGATCTCTTTTATTTTTCAGGTCGCTCTGGGAGTGAATGAACCACGGTCAATGTTCTTAGTTTGACAAAGTTCAGTCTATTGTCTTTCAGTTTACAACCCGGGTAGAGCATGTCTGTAGGCTTTAAGCCTTGAGATCTGTATCCTTGTCTATCTGTATCCTGGTGGGATGACGGTGAAGAAGCCTGGATGCTGTTCCACACACTGCAGGGATGACAAGGGATCGCTGATTCAATCAAAATACAAAAACACACAGAAGAAACTAAATGCATAAAAGTTAGGATTGTACACTATTCTTCTTCAAAAGGATATATCTTCTATCTTTAGTGTAACGGTAATGAGCAATTATCACGGTAGTACACAATATAGTATTATTAGTGGTGGGGTGGGAGGGGTGTAGTGGTGGCGATGGAACAGAGGATAGGAATAGCAATCTTTTTTGCATTCATCTCCAATTTGGTCAGTTTTGATAAAGAGGTATCAACGAAAATTTGCTGCTTCAGAGGTATATTTGGATCCTTAATAATTATTAATTTGTAAAAGGGAGTTCTTGTGCAATAGCTTGTGATGTTCTGTTTGCATAATATGAACATGTGTAGATCATTGTGTATGAATATATGCGATATGTGTTCTGCATTAATCAGTCATTAACCATTTGTCGTAAAGGCTATGTGTTTTAAGTTATCAAAGTCAAGCCTGTTTTCATGCTTATAAGTTTCTAACCTGCAAGTCAAATAAGTAATGAATCAGAGAAACCTGTTGCCTCATTTCAACCAGTTTACATGTTGCTTTTTTCTGTTTCTATGTATACCATTAACTGTCTGGTCTTGTCTTGGTGTTGTCTTGGCTGGTGTGTGTTGTCTTCTAGGCTCATGTGGGTCAGCGCTGACTTGTCCGTCAGGTCAGTATTGTGGGCTCTGAGAGGTTGGCTGAAGCCTAAGGAATATGGCTCTTTAATAACAGTAAATATGATGCTTGTATACATCCTTGTGTACAGTTTGCTTATTTCCTCAACACATTGTTTGTGTTTCCTCGTCAGCTGCAGTGGGGTTTCGTAAGGCTTTGCAAAAAATGTCATCTTCCTAAGTCTTGTAGTTATGTTTTTACTGATATTGGAAGGTGTGGACATCTCCCTCCAGACAACATTAGTGAATCAGTAGAATTTTTGAATATTTCAGTTGAAATTGGATAAAATAAAGTAGCTGACCCCACTGGCAGATTTTCGTTTTGATAAATAAAAAATTTAATAAAATCACTTGTTAGATGGCCTTTTTTTTGCACTGTGGTGGTTGTGTGTTGCTGTTGCTTTTTTTCATGTCTACGTGGTCATTGTGTTCGGGAAAGCTGCTCGTCATCGTGGCCTTGCTGGCAAGTTTCTTGTCACGTTCATTTGTGCTTTTCTGAGTGGTTGTGTCTGCTCTGACCTTTCTCCTTCCTCTGTATTCTAGTTGTAGACCTGTGTTTAGAATGTGCTGTTCTCTTAAATAGAGCTGTGTTAATATATGTTACTGTATTTTTAATTCAGACTATTGACATTTCATTTTTATTGTCTAGATTAGCGTGTGTGTGTTCACAGTAATGGTATGTATGTTTTTCCATTTTACTTGTGAGCTAGTCAAAATCTGTAAGATCTTGTCTTCTTCCCGGCAAATAGTGGAAATTATGCTTGACTTTATTCGTCTTGTAGAATCACTAGAAATGCTGCCCATGAAACTGACCTTGCACACAAACTGCTGCTTCCGACTGGCAAACCCTTATCTTCAAGAACTGTGCCTAGATGAGCTTGACAGCCGAATTTTAAAATTGAAATCTAATAACTAAAGAACATTCTCAAACTCAAAAAACCAGTTTAGTCATCCTAAATAAAAAAATATAAAGTGTGAAGGTGAGATTAAAATGTACTTCAAGATTTTCTGAGGTAAACATTAAGAGAGTGTGAAATCGAAAATCTGAAAACCCCGCACAGCAGCACATGATATTGGCTCAGTGGCTGTGAATCGGCTCAGTGCATCTCCTGTTTTCCAATCTACAATTCTTGACTACAGCAGTCACCTAAGGAAGTAAACTATGGGGTATCGTGTGAAATACTCTTCATGTCCACATTTTCACCTGTTCACTCACATGATATTTTAACACCTAAGGAACCCGAATACACTGTAAAGCACTTATTTTTGTTATGCTACTGATTTAATATTACGCATAGCTGAACAGTTCCAAACGTTCTACTCACAGGAATTTGTGATTCTACAGGAAACAAGTTAAGAAATATAGAAGAAAATACACGGATTGTGAAAATAGAAGGGGCACAGGTGAACATATTCGTATATTGACCCATTGAAACAAACAAATATTATATGTGGGGAAATAAAGTAGAATATGTGAGCCAGAGACAGAAGGGAAGTGGCCAAAATTCTACAGTATTAGTGAGGGGTTTCAGTGATCTGATTATTTGGTGTAACTGACACGGTGCTTACTAATAAAGTAGACGTGAACTGCCAGCTCTTATCTCTGTGATAGATGAAAGGAAGGATGGAGGGAGGGAGAGGTTAAAATAAAAGAGCTAGAAGGAACCGTAGAGACAGCAGTGGAAGGAGGGAAATGGATTCCAGCCTGACAGCAACATGAACACAAGCTGGTAGAGGATGAGTTTCTGGAAGGTCAATACACACACACACACGCACAATGACCAGCACTCATTAACAAACACATACTGCAGATGATACATGCACATGGAGAACTGGCTCATGAAGCAGCTGTGGCGGAGTCAAGACGAGGAGGGTTGCAGGTGGAGACTATAATCAGTAATACAGGACATATGAACACATCATAGCGCAGAAGAAGAGAAACATAAAAAGGAGTTCACTGTGAAATTTGAAATGGCTTTAGGCTGTAGAATGAGAGTCATAACATTCAATAATAAATTTATGCCGCTGAGCACGCGGCAGATGAAACGGCACACCGACTTTAAAGCTGCAATGTGAGGGAATCGAGAGTTGCCACTATCAGAAAAACAAGTGACCACATCTGTAAAGGTATATAGAGAAGCAAACCTTGAGACTTTGTACAGAATAACTTTAATTTTCATAAGCTGTTAATTAAAATATGAAATATTCATAAAGCGTTCTGAATAATGAGACACCTTAAATACACAATACCAACTGCTGAAGTCCAGTCTCTTTGTGCTCTCAGGCTAAGTAATGGCCAGCTCTCATGTCCAACGCTTCCCAGAAACTTAGTGATGGGCTGCAAGAAGACATTTTCAACAAATATCAGTTTATGAAACACCCTCCACAACGCCCACCCACTATATTGTTTTTCTAAAGCAAGATAATTCACAATAGAGACAGAACGTGAGTCTGGGCAGTCAAATGAAAAGTGCGGGAAATTATTTCTTTATAATCCTAACATTGAGAGGAGGAAGGTCCTCAGATGTTTGGGCAAAGCAAATGAACAGAAAATAATGGGAATAAATTGGAAGGAGAAACAAAATGCTGAAGGAAATAGGACTGGTGTGTGGACGAATATTCGTGTTCACAGAAACGAAAAACACTGGGCTGTTAATGCGTCGGCATAGATAAGACGTGAGGGGAGAAGGAACAAAAACATTCCTCAGTCATTAGAAAATTGCAGGCATATCTTTCAGAAATTCAGTATAATTAAACCATTTGAGAATCACAGCTCAGACAGATGCATCATTTTGCCGGTGACAGGAGGTGGAGGGAGGTCGGGTGTACAGTACATTATGCAGTGTTTACTCTTCAGGGCATTGGAAACATTTCATTGTGCAGGTCAGCCGTATTACACTATTGGCTGATGAATGAATTCAGAGGTGGGCGTGCAATCACTGATACACACTGAGACACAAACCACAGGAGCTTTTCTCTGAGATCAGACAGGCAGACAGCGGAGCTCGTGGCGGAGTGTGCTTGGCTATGAATGCCTGCCAAACTCACAGTGTGGGCGCAGCTTGACTGGAAGGAGTCTTAACATTTTTAGCCTCCAACAGAGGGCAGAGGGCCGATGAATGTAGTATCATGTTTTCTGCGTATAGTCTTGTCTCTTGCCTGATTGTGATTGTTACATTATTTTAACGGATTTAAATATCCTGACTGGTGCTTCTAGTGCAACTACATTTTGATATTGCAGGACGTGGATAATATTGGAGGAACAGCGGATTTTGAGCAAGTGTTTGCATATAGTTATAGAATTTGTGTATATTTCCGACTTGTTCGTGTTGCTATTTCTGTTCTGTTGTCTTTAGCTTGTAACTTTTGGTGGTGAAATGAATGTGTTTTGTCTCTGAACTGTATCTCTGTATTGGGTGTTGAGCTTTTATGTACTCAGAACATCAGTGTTGAACTGTATTTATATTTGCGTCCTCCTCTTTGTTCTTTGCAGGCTGATGCATCCACCAGCTTTCTGCGAGCCGCTCGTTCAGGGAACCTGGACAAGGCTCTGGATCACATCAAGAATGGACTCGCCATCAACATTGCTAATCAAGTAAGATATCGAAACAGCTATCGTGTCTGTGAAGGTTCTCAGTCATCCAGGTCAAAGTTATCCAAGGAATGTTTAAATCAAGGACACCTGCATTTGGTTGAAGATACTTGAAGACGTTTTGTTCCTCATCCGAGATTCTGAAAAAGTCTCTTGGACTTCTGTTCTTCAGAACTGAAGTAGTTTCTCGGATGAGGGACAAAACGTTTTTAATTATCTTCACGTCCAGTTGCCCTTTTAACCTTTTAACCTTAATTAAATTGTGGTTCACATCAGTGTCAAGTGTCACACTAAATCCAGTTACTTTTTTGTTTGTTGTACTTTTTTTCTTTAATGTAAAACATTTAAACTAATTTTTAAAAGCGCTCAGTGGCAATCATGTCTTCCCTTTATTTTTTTTATTTTTTTAATTTTGGATCTCTGTGGGTACATCGCTATTTGTAGGTTTTGTGTTTTAGTTTACGTGGTAGGCCAGTGGCTGGATGCCACAAGTCTTTGCAAGTTGTCTGGAGCAATCCATTCTGGAAAATAGACATTTAGAGAGAACTTTCTAGATGACAGATAAATTAAATGTGAATACAGTAATCTTGAATATTAACAGAGAAACATTACTCTGAATGAATAACAATCTGTTAGCTACACAAGTAAATTAACTCACGTCTAGGAAGAAGTTAGTTAAATTAAATAGTCAGTAGTGCTGCTAATTCCATACACACAATATTAGCAGGTCGAACATGAGAACGTTATTATGTTAGCTGTTAATGTTCCTTAGGAGAAATTTCTAATGGTGCTGGATGACATTTTTAAATTCGTTACCCTTTATAAGCTCTTTTCTTTAAAACCACCCTCAAATTAATTAATTCATGGCCAAAGGCAGCATATTATAAAAAGTAAAGAGTTTTGTCTGGTTTCACTGGTCCCTTTGCTCAGTGCTGTTAGACCAGTAATACACACTTTTTGCTCAGATCTTGATAATCAAAAAGTCTGATATTCTTAGCGAAGATGCTGGATATAATCCTGATGCCAAATTTCAAAACTAAAGAACATACCCAAACTGTCTTCAAATAGTTCTCAGATTCTACTTTACTAAAATATCTATACTCCAAATTGTCCCCACTGTGGGAAAGTAAAAGGCTTATCCCTCAGCAAGAACATCATGATTATGAAATTGACTGAATGGAGAATGGAACGTCATTTGGACTTGAACGCACCACATATTGTCACTGTATTCTCAGTGGAATGTCCTTCTGCAGTATCAGCGAAGGGTGTAAAATAAAAGACCAAAAAAATAAAATATTCATTACTCCTAGACCCCCTGATTCTCTATCTTTGTGTAAAGTGGTGTGCATAAATAATTAAGTACATTATATTATAGTTCCCTCAATCTTCAGCCCTACTGTGTGCTCTCTTATACCTTGTTGCATCATGACCATAACACAACAAATTCAGGCGATTGAATGTCACGAGACATAAATGTGTGTGGTTTGGACACACACACTAGCATGCTGGAATGTTGTTGTGTTACGGATGGTTGTGGAGGCTGAGTGATGTTTGGTGAATGAATGGACAAGTGCTTTTATACACAGACAAAACACTGCCAGTGAGATGGATGTGTGTGGGCATTAAGAATGAACACCCAACTCCGTCAGTCTGTGTCATACCATTGATGCCATCAACACACACATGCGCCAGACAGAGAGAGAGACAGAAGATTAGATATGTACGATAGATGACTTTTGAAATTGGAGGAAATGTACACTTTGCACAATGTTCAAGCGTTGTTAACATCTGTGTATTAAGATGCTAATCAACTAGAAAAACATGTCTTGACATGATCTACAATAATTTCATTTAATTTCCTTATGCAGTTCTTTCTTCCTTTCTAAGGGTTTGGGACTGTTTACCATTATATTGATGGCTTTTTACTGAGGACTGAGGCAAGGGCAGAGATGGTCTTTTTATATGTGATTTATGTAATTCTGCAGCAATAACCTGTCCTTGCTAAAGCTACAAGCCTGCAGGCTCTTGTTGGTTTACGCTCTCCCTCTCTTTACCTGGTTTATTGATGGCATCTAACTACTTAACATTATTCTATTAACATTGTACTATTGTCTTTAACTGTGTATGCATAAATGCATATAATTCACAAATATAGGTGTTTGTCAAGGGGGTGGAAATGGGCACTGGAGGTGTTATTTTTGTGTTAGAAACAAATCTGAATCTTACTTTGTATTTGTGTTAGTCCCATGTCTGCACAGCAGACGTTCACAAAATACATTTAACAGTGTGTGTAATTGCCTCTGATACACAATTAGTTTCCCATCACACTGCGCATGCTCGCAGAGAGGCTCTGTAACCCATTTGAATTGAGTGGCACCGCAGTCCCGTGACCCTGTACGCAGGATAAGCGGTTGACGGTGGATGGAATGGATGGAGTGGTGATGGTGCACATAAGATGCTTGCCTTTGGTGTGGGAGACCTGGGTTCAATTCCCACTGTGAGACATCCACCAATGTGTCCCTGAGCAAGACACTTAACCCCTAGTTGCTCCAGAGACGTGCGACCTCTGATATGTAAATGGATGGCACCGCAGTGTGATGTGCTGCCTGAGAAACAGTGTGGATAATAGAGACTCCTGGTGGCCAGAGTGGTTACAGCAGGCAGGTTGCATCTCAAACTGCTAATAACACATGTAGCCAGCCAGAGAGACAGACAGACAATGTTGAGATAAAACAGTTGTCTGCCAGCCCCACTCCCCTGATATCCTTCTTCCTCATCAGCCTTATCAGGTTGTTCATTTTGTCAGAACTGAGTCCTCCTGCTGCCATTTGGGTTTATCGGTTATTTTTAGAGATACAGTAACTAGACGAGTGATGTTCTGCACAGCTGGAGAAAATGGGCATATGCTGCAGTGCTTACAGGGGCATGAGACTGAAGGATGCAGTGTTGCTTTTCCTTATCTTTCCAAAATTTTCATCAGTTAAAGTGGCTTAATTTAAACAGATGGAATATGTATGTTCAGCAGCAGAGGTGAAACACATTACACTCTGGTTTCTTACTACTACACTACTAGCACATTTTGGCAATTTTGAAAGGTCCTGAGATACTTTATGTCAATGGTTGTGGCCAATGATCAAGGCCAAGGAGAGGACAAGGCCAAAGGTAACCATGGATTATTAACAGGATTACTATACTATTGCTGAAGCTTTACGATAAAGACAGTCATATGTTTAATCAAAGGTTTAATACTTGATTACAATAAATAATTAATACTTTAACATGAGTTGGCAATAACTTTTCAGGGAACATTGTATCGCATCGGTGTATGTTTCTTTTAACTCTAATGTGACTACATCTCTGTTTTCTCCCTAAGAATGGTCTCAACGGGTTACACCTGGCCTCTAAAGAAGGTCATGTCAAAATGGTCCTGGAGCTCCTACATGCTGGCATTGAGCTGGAAGCCACCACCAAGGTACTTTGTTATCTATGTATGCTTACTAATCTAAAATAACACTTTATACTGAACTGAAGTAAATAAATAGCTTTTAACTGTCACAACTGGACTGCAACTTTAGCAAAACTAGCATACCTGTAACCACCATACCAGCTACATATATTCACTGAGAAACCTTTCTATAGCAGTAAGAAATTTTTTAAAACAATAAATGTGCTTTAACTACAGGTTAATTGCACTGACCAAGAAACAAAGTTAAGTGAGGTTTCGGATTATGTCCCCATACCCACAGTAACTCAGTCTCACAACTGCCTGCATATGCACGGTACGAGAGGAGAGGGATAGCTGCTGACTAAGATTACTCTGAGCAGCATGTTGGGAAATAAATTAACCTATGGTAGGCCTATAATAGACTTTTGTATATTTCCCACTTTCCCACTGATTGTCATACTCTGGTTGGACATAATCTTTCAAAGTGTATAAATGCATTGGACTTCTAGTAGAGAACGAGAGCTGTTAACTGTTTGTTTACCAAATACAGTGACTAGACACTGATGGACAACAGTGGGTATATTTAAGTTTGTGGATCAAAATTATTGCTAGGGACAATTCAATAGTAGCTTGATATTGGTATGTCCCATCCTGACTAAATTCTACGCCCTTGAAAAAAAGTATGTACTAAACCTAAAAAAGTTGTGACACTTTCATCGTCATAGTTTTATAGATAGATAGATAGATAGATAGATAGATAGATACTTTATTTATCCCGAGGGTAATTCAAGTTTTATCTTCTATGATGAATGAATACACTACACTAGCTGGATCTCACTGTTGAGTTCTCAGTGTAGAGATCTAGGCCATTAGGTTGCAGTCGTTTTCCTCTCTTTCATTCACCTTTTCCACTCTCTCTTTCGGTGTGGTTTTGTGTGTGTGTGTGTGTGTGTGTGTGTGTGTGTGTGTGTGTGTGTGTGCGCGTGTCTATGTGTGTCTGACCTCCAGAAAGGGAACACCGCTCTCCATATCGCTGCGCTGGCAGGGCAGGAGAAAGTGGTGGCTGAGCTTGTCAACTATGGTGCCAACGTCAATGCCCAGTCACATGTGAGTCACTTCAAACTGTGAGCAAGAGGAGAGCGCGTGAGCTTAGTCTGTGTGTATGTGTGCATTTGTGTCTTCCTTGTATATGTGACACACCTGCTAAAGAGTTGTCCATATATGTACATAGAGCATCTGGAAGGACTAGTTTGTGCTTGTGAAGACAAATACCTGTTCATTTTTTATTTCTCAAGTCAGCTCAGTCTCAAATCCATGTATGTATGCAGATGTGTGGTGTTTTTTTTGTAATCTTGTAATATGGATCGAGGCCCATATTATTGTGTTTGTGTTTATGTAACTTTACATTATGTATTTGTGCCCTAACAGAAAGGGTTCAGTCCTCTCTACATGGCAGCACAGGAGAATCACCTAGAGGTAGTCAAATTCCTGCTAGAGAACGGTGCCAATCAGAGTCTCCCAACCGAGGTACGTGTCTCTAAGTTTCTCTGTTTGTCCACATTAGTCATACCGATTATTATTAATTATCTCCTTAAACATCAAGGGTGTCTGCGTGCTATCGCTCGTTGCTTGAAAGGTACTGTGAGACCCTAGGTGGTGTACCTTAGCTAAATAAAGTAGTTTAGTAAAGTGAAACACTGCTAGTAAATGTTATTTTCTTTTTACAGAGGGCTCAAATAGACTCCATCAGAGGGTTGAGATTGTGTTCCATTGTAAAAGAAAATTCTCTTATCAAGTCATTTTGTCCATTATTGACATCCTTACCTCATATTTTCTTGAAACAGGCAAATTACCTGCAAATGACAAAGCTGTAATTTGTGCCAGCCATAATAATGAACATTATATAATCATTTTCTGACGGACACGAGGTCCTTTTCTAGGTTTCCGTATCCCTCTGCTGACCTTTTACCTAATAATCTTTAATAACTGAACCCTGTTCTCCATTTTTTTCTCCTTTATGCCACTTGCTGACCTCCCTAAATCCTCTCCTTTTCTTGTCATCTCTCCACCTCGTTCACTTTTTGTCCCACTGTCTCAGGATGGCTTCACCCCCCTGGCAGTAGCCCTCCAGCAGGGCCATGAAAATGTTGTGGCACTCCTCATCAACTATGGCACCAAGGGCAAGGTCCGCCTCCCTGCGCTGCACATCGCTGCGCGAAACGACGACACACGCACCGCCGCAGTGCTCCTGCAGAACGACCCCAATGCTGATGTTCTCAGCAAGGTATACACTCACTGACAGTGGGTGTACTGGTGTCATGGTTTACTTAGCGTACTATGACAATACAATATTTTACTTAGAGTACTATGACAGTACAATGCAGTCAAAAAGAAAAAAATGAACAAAAAACAAATAAACTAATTCAATTGCAATGCCATTTAGATTACTTAAAATAAAACGCTCCAAGCAAATACTTATCAAAAGAAAATGCTGTCTATAATAAAACATAATTTTCAAAACACACTATAAAAAAATATTGTGGGCTGTTCTTTCTGACTTCATGTCCCTGAACTATTTCATTTGTGACATGCACATTGTTGTAGTCTTGTTTTTCAATAGTGAAATAAATAGTTTTTAACTATCCTTATTTACCCATTGTGTCTCTTTCTCTGTAGACTGGTTTCACACCACTCCATATTGCAGCCCACTATGAGAATATGAGTGTTGCCCAGCTGCTGCTGAACAGAGGAGCCAATGTAAACTTCACCCCCAAGGTCAGTTTATCTCAGCTGTAGGATCAAAAATTACATTTGAGACGAATAAAGAATGGGGTCCAAACATTGTGTGTTAAGAGGGAAAAAAAGGATACAGGAATCTTAACAGATACATTTCCCCAATAAATGTATTTTTTTTCAGTGCAACAGCTTCCATTATACATTTGTCTTGTCATATTTTGAAGTAATCTGGAGACTTGATGCAATGATTACAAAAGGCGCTGACATATTTCTTTCCCTACTTTTCTAGAATGGCATCACGCCCCTTCATATAGCCTCCAGGAGGGGCAATGTGATGATGGTCAGACTACTCCTAGACAGAGGAGCACAGATTGATGCCATAACTAAGGTAGAGTATTGTTCCTCTCCGCTTTGGCATTTTGTCACTCATGCATGCTTAATGTCTTCCCAATATCTACCCCCTCCCCCATCTGTCGTCCTCCCTGCTGATCTGCTCATTTCTGCCTCTTCTGTGGTTTAAAACGTTTCCACTCTAACTGTCTCTCTCTCTCTTTCTTTACTCATCTCTGTGTAGGACGAGCTGACTCCTCTTCACTGTGCAGCCAGGAATGGCCACGTTCGCATCCTTGAGATCCTGCTGGAACACGGTGCTCCCATCCAAGCTAAAACCAAGGTAGATGAATTAAATAAAATGCTGCACTTTCTGTGGCTGTCTTTTAGCTATTATTGTCCTTGGGAGCTCTGTAATAAGCAGTGATCATTGGGGTTTACTGTTAAGTACTGATTTTGACTTTGTAAATCTTACATTCATTTAGCTGATGCTTTTATCCGAAGCAACTTACAATTGCTATATATCTCAGACGTCGCACGCCTCTGGAGCTCAGGGACACAATGGTGTCTCACAGTGTATTCGAACCCGGGTTTCTCACGCCAAAGGCATGTGTCTTATCCACTGCTCCATCACCACCCACCAAAGCTTACGAAACAATCTAACTTCTGAGTGAGATTTCATTAGAAAATCAACATAAAAACCATCTTGCTAAATGCGTATACACTTCCCTCCAACTTCAGCTAATTAGCTAAAATTAAGATGCCTGAGATGTTGGTCCGTTTACTGAGCATCCTAGATCTGAGCCTCATTGGCCATGGATGTGCATGCTGTGCGCAGATATTATTGCCACAAGACATTGCCAGTTGTATTATCTGCAAGTAATTTTAGCACAATGTGTTGATTATATCCCCTCTCAAGACCCATACTCTGCTTTCCTGAAGGCAAGCAACTGAATCTTATTGGCTACTTTCCTGCCTCTGTCTGTGTCCCATTCTTTCTCTCTTACAGAACGGTTTGTCCCCCATCCACATGGCAGCTCAGGGTGATCACATGGACTGCGTCAGGCAGCTACTGCAGTACAGCGCTGAGATTGATGATATCACACTGGACCATTTAACCCCTCTTCATGTAGCAGCCCACTGTGGTCACCATCGGATGGCCAAAGTCTTACTGGACAAGGGGGCCAAAGCCAATGCACGTGCTCTGGTAGGTTTGTTGTTGTGTGTTTATTTTAGATTTAATGTATATGTCTTATGTCTATCAGGATCTTCATGTTCATGTTTATAAAGGGCGTGCAGATTTAGTTTTATTTAACTGAAGACGTGCAAAGGCTTTAAAGGAAAATTAATCTTTACTTTAGTGCTATAGTCTGTATTTATATAGTGCACCACATCAAACAAGCAAAACATCATTTTGAAACATTTTTAACCTGTAGTACAATGAATAGGCTTAAAGCGATTGTGACTTCAGGACTGTCCTCATTTGTGGGGTAGTTGTGAACTATTTTCTCCGTGTTTCCAGAATGGCTTCACACCTCTCCATATTGCTTGCAAGAAGAACCACATGCGGTCCATGGACCTGCTGCTGAAGCATTCTGCTTCCCTAGAAGCTGTCACAGAGGTGAGACAATGTGACCTCCAGGGACAGAGTCTGAAAATGAACAAATATCCACTGCTCTGGCGTAAAGAAAAGCTTTCACCCAAGTGGCATTCATAAAACATTTGTTGTCTTTTGTAACAAGCATATGTTTGCATTAGTTTTCTATTTACTTTGTCTCTTCACATTTAAAGTAAAGCAATGGTAAAACATGTGTAGCTTATAAGGCTTTGAAATGACAAAGAATCTGCTACATTTTCACATTGATATAACCCCTGTGTAATACCAGTGTCATCTGTCTTAAAGTTTCAAATTTACAAATTGTCTGATTATTAATAGGAAATATCCATAATGTTGTCCTCCGCTGTCCAAACTGCTGGAGCAAGCACTGACACCAGTCCACTTATACCAGTCTGTGGCTAATGATCTAGAAAGTCGACATCTCTGTAAAGCGCTGATATTGAGCCTTGATGACCGTCTTTGTCTGTGTTTGTGTGTGCAGTCTGGTCTCACTCCTCTTCATGTAGCAGCATTCATGGGCCATCTGAACATAGTGAAGAACCTGCTCCAGAGAGGGGCCTCACCTAATGCTTCCAATGTGGTGAGAACTGCTCTTCTACCCCAAAAGTCCATCTTAATTTCTTTTAGACCTCTTTCAACATTGAGTGAATTGGTTTCCTGTACTTGTTTTTGTAATCCAAGTTCAGATATAACAGAAAATGTTACAACTCTGTGTTCACATTTTTAAGAGAGAATTAATTCCTCACTGAATTAAATAATTAATTACTTGAGAAGATTCATTTCATAGGTCACAAATTCAACAATTAGCTGTAGACGGATTAAGTCTTTCTTTCTTTGCCAGCACAGAAAGCTGTTCATGATGAATGAACATGAATTGTTTCTAAATTACTGAAATTAATAGACTGGTCTGGACTATGAGCGCCGATATGAACAAGGTATATTTAAACAAGGTTAAAGATTCAAATTAAATAAAAGTTCTAAAAAATTATGATACATTAAATATTAAAATTATAAATCGTGTTTTTTGTCAATGGGCTAGAATATGCAAGAAGTACTTGGTTTAGAAATTGAACCTGTCATTGTCCAGCAATATGTAGTAAAAAACAATATAATGTAGCTTGTGAGTGACCTGTATTCCTGTATTTTTATCTACACCAGAAAGTGGAGACTCCCCTCCACATGGCCTCTAGAGCAGGACACTGCGAAGTTGCTCAGTTCCTGCTGCAGAACGCAGCCCAAGTGGACGCCAGGGCTAAGGTACGAGCTGTGTAGTCTTACTTTAGTTTTTAATGCATGTTTGTATCTGTAGCTGCCTTTCAGTTTTTCATGAGGAGGTCAATGCTGCCTTTTAATCTGCAGGAAACATTAAGCCCACCTCAGATACAGAATGCAATATCAGTGGCAGATTTGTTTGAGTGGCTGACTTTTAGCATGACTTCATTACCCAGTGCTTAATGATACCCTTTTCCCTATTTAAAAAATAAATTTATCTCTTTTTTTCCTTGTGTCCAGGATGACCAGACACCCCTACACTGTGCGGCCCGTATGGGCCACAAGGAGCTTGTCAAGCTGCTCCTTGAGCACAAGGCCAACCCGGACTCGGCTACAACTGCAGGCCACACGCCTTTACACATCGCTGCACGTGAAGGACATGTCCACACTATTCGAATCTTGTTGGATACTGGGGCACAGCAGACCAAAATGACAAAGGTGGTGGCCATGAGAGGGGGGAATAGTCACATCTGAATTAATCAATGACTGCATTAGGCACTGCTGTAGTAAAGGCAAACATGGGTTACATTATGCTTGGAGGCATTACTTACTGTAATTTCTTAGACATTTGTATTTAGGACCTGTCCAGTGCAAATGCAATTGTAGTTTTCCCACCTAAAGAGCACTTCCTGGTTTATTTTATGCTTTATTATAATAAATCTAGTTATCTCTAATTTCTGTCATCTTCCTCCACATCCTTTTTTTCATTTTATCACACAGACTGAGTTTTATTGAGAAAGCGAACCTGTATAAGCTACAATAATGACAAGCATGGGATATGTCTGTGATTTTATTTTTTTCTTCTGAGCAGAAAGGCTTCACTCCCCTCCATGTGGCCTCTAAATATGGGAAGGTTGACGTGGCTGAGCTCCTTTTGGAGAGAGGAGCCAACCCTAATGCAGCTGGGAAGGTGAGACAATGCGTGCGTAGTCCAGCTCCCTGAACAACACAAAAACAAATAAAGCACATTTTACAAGGCTGTGAAGAGCCTGCATAGAGATGACGTTGGGATATCAGTTGATTGATAGATTATCATGGTATGTGTTTCATATATACGTGTTTCTGTGTGTTTTTGTGTATGTGGATGAGTTTATACGTGTGTACATGTGTATGTGTGTGTTTAACAGAACGGTCTGACACCCCTTCATGTGGCCGTCCATCACAACAACCTGGATGTTGTTAAACTCCTGGTCAGCAAGGGAGGATCTGCACACAGCACTGCCCGAGTAAGATGCTCACATATGTGTGTGCACATACTCACAAAGGCAGGCCAACACAGCATGCCATCCCATCACTGACACACATACCAAAACAGGTCAAATGAGTGTGTGAGACTTAAACATACAGTTAACTTACATGACAGTCTTTGTACTCAGAAACACTCTCTCATGTCAGCGTTCAAGTTTTAATCTAAAATTAGATATGAACAGCGTTCAAAAAAGTAATTCTTGCGTGTGTCTGTCCTTGTTTCTCGCTACAGAATGGCTACACTTCCCTGCACATAGCAGCCAAGCAGAACCAAATCGAGGTGGCCAGTTGTCTGCTGCAGAATGGGGCAACCCCCAATGTCGAGTCCCTTCAAGGCATCACGCCCCTACACCTGGCTTCACAGGAGGGTAGGCCGGACATGGTGGCCCTGCTCATCTCCAAACAGGCCAACGTAAATCTTGGAAACAAGGTATATTGGATCCAAACGTATCAATCCCAGAGAGGGAATCTTGACTTATGTAGCTTTTCACCTTTAAAAAATGATTGCTATACCTTTGGGAAAAGTTTTATGGTTATCAGAATATATAATACCAAACAAATTAACTATACCCTGAAAATACTGTTTTCAAGAAATGTTCACATATACTCCTGTCCATTCTTTTTGTCTTTAAGAATGGATTGACCCCTCTGCATCTTGTGGCTCAGGAAGGGCATGTGGGAATAGCTGACACACTGGTCAAACAAGGGGCCTCTGTTTATGCTGCTTCACGGGTAAAACTACTCTTGAAACCATCAATCCATTTGATAACGAAGAAGTGGATAGCAATTTGATATAATTTAATTTCTCTTTTAAACAAATTAATGATTGTCCATAAATATTTAATTTACTCATCACACTAGCTCTTTAAGTAGCTCTTTTAAAGGAATGCAGAATCATTTCTCAGCTTGTTTAATGTTTACACGTGTTTATACAAGATCCAAGCTGTCTTCAAGGAGGCATTAGTGAAGCTGCTGAACAACAGCCAATTGTCTCTCTCTCTTCTTGTCTCAGATGGGCTACACACCCCTTCATGTGGCCTGTCACTATGGCAACATCAAGATGGTGAAGTTCCTTCTGCAGCAGCAGGCTCATGTGAATAGCAAGACAAGGGTAAACTACCTTTTTCTGACTACTGCATGTGGGCCTAATGACTAGCTTAACTGCCAGCAATTAGTTAACCAGTATGAGCAGATTGGTTGGGACAGTGCTGGGATTAGCATTAGGTGCTAAAATAATAGATGGAAATTCAGCTTTCTCTGTGTTTCTTCTTTTGTCTGATCATCTGTCCTCTTTTTTTCCCCCCAGTTGGGCTATACCCCTCTGCACCAGGCAGCTCAGCAGGGCCATACCGATATTGTCACCCTGTTGTTGAAACACGGAGCCCAGCCCAATGAGATTACTACGGTGAGACACCTTTATGGATACCATATCCTGTTAAAATCTTCCTCTCAACACTAGGCATTCCCTCTGTACCTACACACGTGTCCTATATATAATGTGAAAACAAATAAGGAAAGGACAGTTTGAAGGCATCCCTCTGAGATGATGCCTACGTTTTGGCCTATTACACCTGTTTTAACACTTTACGACATTATCTTACAAAATAACAGATGTGTACTTTTACGTCCTATGAAAAGAATGAAATGCCTTTTATTATTAACAGTTTAAAATCTATAGAAATAATTTGCATGATGTTTCTCATCTTTCTCTGTATAGAATGGGACATCTCCTCTGGGTATTGCTAAGCGGCTGGGTTACATCTCTGTCATTGATGTTCTGAAACTGGTTACCGAGGAGTCTGTCTCTGCGGTGGGCAACACATCATGCTTGCTTTACATGGTTATAGTAGCCCTGACACAGCATGACTCATATGTTCAATCAAATTATTTCATCTTGATCAGGCCCAGCTTGCTCTCCTGCTTGCAAAATTACTCAGCATTTTCCATTTGTTGTCCTCTCTTTCCTTTCTATTTTGCTCCTGTCATATCTCTCTCTCACAACCTCCCTCTGCTCTTCACAGATCACTACAGAAAAGCATCGGATGAGTTTTCCGGAGACAGTTGACGAGATTTTGGATGTTTCAGAGGATGAAGGTAGGCTAGCCAATTTGATTATGTGAAACACATGAACTGTACAGTTTTGATAATTAATTTTCAGCTCTGATTCGCTATTTTGGTAGAAGAAGACTGTATGGGAGGTTCACTGACACATCAAAGTGCCACCATTAATTTAAATATGTATATGACTGCATATAACACCCTTTTCCATTTGTTTTGTAGGGGTTGCCCAGCTAACGTTAGGTAGGATTGTGTCTGTATCTCTGGCTTGTCCGGTCCGGTGGCTAGTGACCTTGTGCCTCCATTGCAATTGCACTTTCTCATTTTCTCTGTGTTTCACTAATTGTCTTTATAATCAGTTCCTCTGCTCTCAACTCCAGCCCCGTTTGCTCTTCTCTATCTTTATCTTCTCTATCTTTATTCTCTCCTCCTCTCTCTCCTGCTCAGAGATTTATTTAAAAGAAATGTGTCTGTTTTTCATCAGCATGTAGTCACAACATTTTCCTTTTACCAGCGTTCAATGCACATCTGTCCATGGACTCATTATTGACTGAACTCCAGTATTCCTGCAGCTAAAAGACAAACAGCCCCCTTCCAATCCAGCCATTTTGAAAATGAGTGCTCCAACCTTTCACAGCCTAATTGATCAATAAGCAGATTACACACATGCTGTGCCCCAGCTGTGACACTCGCCTGCAAACAGCACGCACAGTTGTTGTTTATGCAGTCGTCTTTCTGCTTTAAAGAAATGCCGAATTAAATCAAATGTAATTTTGACAGTACAGTTTGAAAGCATGCAAGCTTCATTTTAATCTATTTTGTTCTTGTTGTACTTGTTTATTTGTAATGCTTTTTTCTTCTTTAGCATTCTATTTGTTTACCTGTGCAGTTTGTTCTAATGAATGTTTAATTGTCTGTAAACAACTCTGTTATGTGATGTGGTTTATAATTTATTATTGCTCTAATGAATATTATTTCAATATCATTCCTCCTTAATAATTGAGGCATTTTCTCCCACACAGAAACAACCATCACCACATGTGATTTCATCTTTAATGGGCATGCTCACTAAAAAAGCTGTCACCAGGTGCCTTGCAGTTTGCTGTCCTTGCAGTGTCCTAAACTGTGTTAATCTTCACTGTCTTACCAGTCCTCTTCTTTCACTCCTTTGGTTTCCATTGGCTCTAGTTGTTGTCCGTTTGACTCCATTGCTTAGACTAAAATATTTGAGACTGCTTTGTGGACATTTTCTAGTGGCGTCATGAAGGTGAAGGGATGGAAAGGATGGTGATTACTACTTTCATCTTTCGAGAACTGATTCGAGTGACATTATTTTGATTCAAGTGGAGTTTAAAACGTTGTCACTCATTAAAAACAAGTCAAAATGCCTTGGAGGAAAAGGTGAATTCCATTGGCAGATTTCTTTTACTTGATTTAAGAAACTTACATTTTACAACTGAGTGGAAGAACTTGAGAGTTGAGATCAGCATTATTTTGCCCTGTTGTCTTGTTCTTTCCTTTCGTAATTCTTTTGTGTGCGACCTGTTCTTTGACCATTTTCGTTTTTTCCTCTTTCCCCCTTTTCCACCTTTCTTACCTCTTTATTATTGCCCACAGGAGACGAGTTGCTCGGGATGGATGGAGCGCGCTATTTGAAACTTGATGACTTCAAGGACCAGGACGATGACTTCCTCTCCCCGAAGAAAACCCTTAGAGACTTTGAGGGTGGCATGGGTACAACGTAAGTCATTGTGTTCTCCCCTTTTTGTGTCTGTCGTCTGGCAAATGGGTCGTCTGCAGGTGATGGTTGAAACAGAGTTTTGTACTGGTTTTTATTTAATTTCCTGAGTACCTAATATAATTGATGTCGTCTTACATCATTCTCACTTCCTTATATTCTTACAGGCCATATTCTCCTGCAATTCCCAGGATCCCTTGTGTGTCTCCAGAGACTGTACTACTGGATCAGGTAGGCTTAACTTATGATGTTTCGAGGGTGCATTATATTTTGTAAGTATTGTTTCTTTATCCAATTGAACACAGACAGTAATGTGTGAAAGTCAAATACCTACAGTATTTAAATGTACTCTATTTTTATCTTTTCTTTGGTCTTATGATTTTTTCCATCTCTTCAATTAGCTTGTCCCCTTTTTTTCTGGTTTACTCTCTGCCTGATTCTGTCGTATCATTTTTTGTGCTGCATTTTTGTTCTTCTCCTCTCCTTCTTTTTCACCATCTCCTCTCTGTCATTCCCTTCTGCCTTTCTCTGCCTTAATCTTTTTCAGTCACGCTTATTTTACTGACTTTTACTACTTTTTCTCCCTCTCTGACCTCAGCACACCCCCATCCCCCTGCCAAAGGAGTACGATGAAGACTCTCTTATCCCGAGCAGTCCAGCTACAGAGACTTCCGACAACGTCAGCCCTGTGGCCAGCCCCATTCACACCGGGTCAGCCAATGAAACATTTTGCAGCATGTTAATCCTCATTTTTGATTTTATTTATATTAAATTATATTAATGATTGATGCTTCTTGTCGGCCTTATCATAAGGAAGGGATTTCAGCAGAATCAATGAGATTACCACCATTGCAAATGTATTTTAAAAGTACAGAATGCTTACAAGGACAATGGAAATTGAAATTATGTGAAAATCCGATGAAAAAATCTCTAGAATACTATTAATACTAGAGGCAGGGGGTCTTATTTGGGCATTAGGCAAACTTGAAAAGTCTTGTTTTGATGAATAATAATTTCTGTCTTAGCAATTCATCAGAAAGAACACAGATTTCTAAGTGGGGGAAGGCATTTTATGATCACTGATCCACCCATGAGCAAGTGATTCACATCAGAATAGCTTAAAATGTCAGTGTTTTCCCAAAGTCTTAGTTGCACATATTTGGTGGTGATTGATTATTTAGGACCATTATTTTATCTGTGAACAAATAGTTGGAAAAGCTAGAGCAGATAATAAATAACAACCAGAAAGCATAAGGACTACACTTCTGGGGAGAGACTATCGTATAACATATAACCATTCGATTTTTGAAAAGTAATTTAGTTTTAGTTTCCATCTCCTCTGCGCAGTGATTTTAACTTCATGGCATAGCACCCAAGCCTTTTGGGCCTCACCTCCTAAGCCTTATAACAGCAGGGAAACCCTGTAATATGACCTCATAATAATCATCAGCTTTTGACATTTATCTGTAAAAATTAATAAGAAAAATTGGCAACATGACAACCACCTCCCTTAATTACCAAGCATTTCATTTACACAGTAAAATCCAAAAGAAACGTCTCCTCATTAACTTAAAAGGAACTAGTTTTCATCCCTAACTTGCTTTACTAACCTCAGCATTTCCACTGTCACTACCATCCTTTCTTTTCTTAACAACCAGTCTGAAAACAGAAAAATAGTTAACTAGGCTAACTATTAGGGTGTACAGGATGTTTATAGGGCAGAGATGTAGGCTGGACCAATTTAGTCAAAGCTTGTAATGTTGTCAGTAATCGACAAATTAGGCAGTAATGAAATGCAGCAGCTAGAACTTCCTATAAATTGAGCTATTGTTAAGTTACATAGAGCCAAAATACATAGGCTACTGTATAAGCTTTCCTGCTCAGCTGAGCAGTCTGAGAGGAGGGGGAGATGTTTGCTAGCGCTAACCGGCTTCACTTTTCCAGCAGTTAGGGAAACAACAAACAGACTTTAATGGTCTTGAGAAGCTGATACGCTGTTATTGACGCATACATTTACTGGCAGAATATTTTCCTCCGCTCGTATTCATGGCGCATCGCCGCTCCTGAATGAATATAGGGGAAACCCTGTACTGGCAAATGTCAAAAATTAATTGCAGAAATAGGTCTGTTTTCTATTACATTTAACCCAGGATCTATACTGTAAATAGATAACATAAATGATACATGTTGGTCATGTTGGACCTGAGGACCAAAAATGAGTTTAACTGTCCTCATATTTACACTTTGCTTAAATTGTTCACTGCTAAAAGGCATGTAATAAAGGTATTTCCGTATAGCTTAATAATATTAATGCGGCATAATGGCCATCTATTAAGTCTGCCTAGTCGTAATTTATGCACAGCACAATGAGTCAGCATTTGAAAAGCAGAATATAAAGTGAGGGTGTTAGGAGGGAAAGATGAACTCATGAGAGGAGAATAGTCACCCTGCCCCACACAGACACACACATCTGTATGAAGCTGCCTGTCTAGTGCAGGATCAAACAGCATGGGGCTCTTTTTTTCTCCATCTTTTTATGCCATTCTTGCTGCACTTAGTTGCCACTCCAGATGGCCCGTCCTCTCCTGCCATATTGAGACGATCAAATGAAAAGGGCACCCACATAGTGAATTTGTGTCTCCTTCATAAATCACTCTGCATACAGCATAAACAGACAGAGACCAGATCAATTCAAATCACTGCCAAATAAACCACAAATACTTCTTTGTCTCATTCAGTGGGAAGTATTTCCATTTAGAAAGCCCAGTGTTGGCTGTGTTCCTGTCCTGTATTGTTAAATGCAAATTAAATGCATCTTGATTGGGAAGTTTAAAGACAATTAAAGTGATCATCTGAAACTTTTGATTTCATCACCGTATGACTGATTGACTCTCAGCTTCCTGGTGAGTTTCATGGTGGACGCTCGAGGAGGCTCCATGCGAGGCAGCAGACACCACGGCCTGCGAGTAATCATTCCTCCTCGAACCTGCGCTGCGCCAACGCGCATTACCTGCCGCCTGGTCAAGCCTCAGAAACTGACCACACCTCCTCCGCTGGTGGAGGGGGAGGGGCTTGCTAGCCGTATCATCTCCCTAGGACCGTCCAGTATGCAGTTCCTTGGGTGAGTCAACTGTCTGCTTGGTTTATTTACTGTATTTGGAGAGCCCTAAAGCATGTGTGTGCAACCATCACAGTGGAAAAGTCACATTGTGTGCAAGTGTGTTTGTTTGTGTACGCTCATTACGTATGCATGTATTTGTGGCAGTCCGTGCTAAACATATTTATGTTTGGGTGAGTAATAAAAGTGTCTAAATATATGGTGCCAATATGAAATGAGCCATAAAATACTTTTTTTCTGTTTTACGATATTTAGCGATATTTTAAGATATTTGCATTTTTATTCAATTTTAAGATTTAATAACTATTATTACATATATGCATTATAACCCATATCAGAATTAATTAAAATTTTCCTACATTTTTCATACATGAAAACTTTCCAGCTGTCAATTTCAAACAGAAATTAGAAATAAGAATGACTTGAACTACATTTGTGCAAGATATTGGTTACTGTGCAGTATCTACTGTGTATTGTTACTGTATTGTGTGTCTCTGTCTTGTTGTCTATTCTTACATTGTTTATGCACCTTACAAAACACAGGCAGAAGAATGACAATGAAGTTGACTTAACTTGAATTACAAGATAATGATTGTTGTGCCATCTAGTGGACATTGATATGTCTGCACATCCTAAATATGCTGTAGATTGTGGTGTAATCCCGGAAACAATAATACTACAACAGATATTATTGTTTTGTTTTTTCAAACAAGGCTATAAAATCAGTTTTTTATATCACAGTCACAATTTTATTTCAAACTTAGGCACAATGCATTGTGTGTTAAATGAAAGTACACTGTTTCTCACACAGGCCAGTAATAGTAGAAATCCCACACTTTGCCTCACTGGGCCGAGGGGACCGGGAACTTGTGGTTCTCCGCAGTGAAAATGGCTCGATCTGGAAGGAACACCGTAATCGCTATGGCGACGAAGTACTGGAAACTATTCTGAATGGCATGGATGAAGGTCAGTGTGACGGTAATGGATGTCACTGTCTGTGGGACCTTGCATGGTTGCAGATAAGTCATTCTTTATCTTAATGTGTGACCCTGAAGTTAAAGAACAAGGGCGCAGAGAGGACGTGCTTTTTTACTGGAAGCTTGTCTCAGCAACAAACAAGTGCACTTTTTCTCATGTGTAGTTAAGACTGGAAGTCTTAGCTTTACTTGTATTCTAACACCTCACATCTTTTTCCCCCTCTGTCTTTTTTCTATACCTGTCCTTTCTTTCTACCTCTTCACTGCTTCCTGTCTGTAGACTTGGAGAGTTATGAGGAGCTGGAAAAGAAGAGAATCCGTCGGATCATCTCCACTGATTTCCCCCTCTACTTTGCTGTGGTCTCCCGCATTCAGCAGGAGAGCGATCTAATTGGTCCGGAGGGCGGCCGGCTGACCAGTAAACTGGTGCCCCACGTCGAGGCTATTTTCCCTGATACGGCTGTCACCAAGAGAGTGAGACTGGGACTGCAGGTAAGCAAAGGAGTCGAAATGTGAGCAAATACAGTACAAGAATAAAGTGGAGTGGAGGGCTTATGATGAATGAAGAGGAGAGGGAACTGCAAATTTGAAAAACATTAGATATATAATTGCTTGGTTGTTTGCTATTTTTGCTTGTACACAGACACAACAGAGACAATCTGGTGATTTCAGAAATTACTGAGGACAGATGTTTTAATTATAAAACAGCTGACTCTCAATCTGTGACTCAATGGTCTGTGCCAGCGTGTTTACCTGTTTGTGCTGCATTCAGTGTCTTTCATTTAAGATTTGACAGATTTCACATCTGGAACTTGATGCTGTCTGTTTGACAAATGAGCTGAATATGTAAGAGCTGTTCTATCAGTCAGTGAGAGTGAATGCCAACGCTGTACTGCAAACAGATGCTTTATTCTCTTATTAATGTCAATCTTGGTGTTTGAAGGAAGATCATACATTGTCGTATGAGATTTTTGCATCAATGGCAGGCAGCGAATCCATTTTTATTGAGTATTTTTTGACCCAGCGTATGTCCATATTTTTGCATGTTTTTTCCCATTTATTGCAAATGTACTGATTTTTTTTAATGCTATTTTCTGGCCTTACATTTTTTGTAATCATTAGTTTGTGTTTATTTACATCAAATCTGCTTTTACTGAAAATGAACCAAAATCAGCAGCTGCCTCAAAGATAAAACAAAAAAGAAAATCAAAGAATCTAAAGCACTATGATATGTTTGTCAAAAATAAATAATGTAAAATACAGTAGACTTATGCACAGTCGTAATACATGGCTGAAGTGTTTAAAAACAGTGGTATGGTCCTTTACAATGTGAAACATTAACTAATACCAATTAGATACAGGTTATTTATTAGATTTAAAGCTCCTAAAACTGGGTTCAAAAGCTTAATAATGTTTCTTTAATATTAAATATTCAGCAACAATGCTGTGCTGATTGGTGCTTTTTTTAACTGAGCCCCACCTACCTCAACACAGAGAGAAAAGCAATGGCAAAAACAGAAATGCAGAAAACTCTCATGTGAAATAACCAAATTTAACCTTGGTGGTTGTGAGGTCATATAGGAGCCCATTACTGAGAGAGAAAGCACTCGCTAAGACTGTTTGATTGAGAAAAAATGTTCTTCAGGGCCTTCAAAATATTGACCTGAGGCGTGTCTCAGCCTGTCAAACCATACTGCATCCTTTCTAAATGATCCCTTGCAACATGTGGTGTATGTCCTGCCAAAGAGGAGCTTTTGGCAAATGTGTGGCTGACTGTCACTCATCCAGACCTCAACAGACACACATATGGGAACTTGGCAAACACTCACGCTGACTGTCTCTCTTCACACCTCCGCTTGGTTTTATTTTTCATGGCAGAAAGATTACGACGGATTATGGGTTCTACATTTCAGTTTTGCTTCTTTTTTTCTTTTTTTGGTCACTTCGGTTTGTACGTTGTTTACATTGTCTGTCAAAGCACTGATGCTATTTAAGGAAACTGCATGGGTTTTGCTTTGCCTTATGCTGCTCTGTTTATGTTTTCCTTTTATCCAGCCATGCATCACTCCTCAGTTTCCTGATTTAAGTTGTGAGCCACACTGACCGAGCTGATGCACTGATCTGAGCTGGGTCAGGTGTGAAATATGAATTGGTTGCATGTGTGAGTATGGCTGTGAGTTTGATGTTTCAATCTATTGCACATGTGTTGGACTGTTTTCTCTTTGTGTCCTCCCCTTATTTCGATTTCCTGCCTATTGACTATCCTTTTGGATCACCTGTAGTTACTTCAGATTTTATACTGTGTTTATGCATGAGTTTGTCTTTCACATATTTTATGTACCCAGCCTTCTTCACCTCCATATCCTTTTAAACTGTCTTTTCTGATGTTTAATAACCTTTTCTCCCACCGTTACCACCTCAGGCGCAGCCAATACCTGATGAACTGCTGACTCGGCACCTTGGTAACCAGGCAACCTTCAGCCCAGTGGTTACCATCGAGCCACGCAGACGCAAATTCCACCGTCCGATCGGGTTGCGCATCCCTTTGCCACCATCCTGGAGAGAGAGTGTTCGGGATGCTGGAGAGGGTGATACCACCAGCTTGCGACTCCTGTGCAGTGTCATTGGTAGGGTCCATTCTGAAGTTAATCAAAAAGACAAAAAGTTTTCCAACTTTCTCTGTATATAATGACTTTTTATATTGTTTTAATTGTTTGGATGTACAGTACATAACATATAAAGGGCATGAATGACACAGTGTGGTTGTTGTGTCTCAGGTGGCACAGCCCCAGCTCAGTGGGAGGACATCACTGGAACCACCAAGCTGATGTATGCCAACAACTGCGCCAACTTTACCACCAATGTTTCTGCAAGGTGAGCACTTCAGCTGTAATCAAGGCAAATGTTGTACCATCCATCTTTCCTTCGCTGCTCACTTGCAGGACTTGCACCACTTTCCACCTTCTCTTCTTCCACATTATCCAGATTCTGGCTGGCAGACTGTCCACGCACGGCAGAAGCAGTGACCTTTGCCAATTTGCTGTACCGAGAGCTGATGTCTGTTCCATACATGGCCAAGTTTGTTATTTTTGCCAAGATGAATGAAGCGCGCGAGGGACGCTTGCGTTGTTACTGCATGACAGATGATAAGATGGACAAAACACTGGAGCTGCACGAAAACTTCACCGAAGTGGCGCGCAGTAGAGACATTGAGGTCAGCACGGGGAAAATTTTGCCAAGGTCACAAAAAGGGAAAGGTGTTAGAGAAAACAGTAGGGGTTACGGCAACCTCAAACATAGTTCCTTGACTATGCAAATCATTCTCATAACTATAACATGTGACAAATGTTTTTTTTATCTACACACTTTTAAGCAATTGTGCAATTAATGGGAATTTAATTGAGCTGCTCAAAAGTCATACTTTCATGCATGAAAAAGAAGCAATTCCAATTTTCTTCTGTTCATGAAAAAAAGAAAGAGGCCTAACACCACTGCCGGGATTGCTGGCATTACTTCCAGAATCTCCCCATCTTAGGAGGAAGGATCCTGCAAGTAGAGAGTTTTCTGCAGTATAGAAGAATCTCAGTTTGTGCATTGTGATAGATCCACGCTCTGGCTATGTTACAGGGTCAAATCCCTCTCAGATTCTCTTGCTGTTATGATTCATCTTGTCACCCTTAACATTTTGTGAATACTTTCCACAGCTGATGGAGGGCATGCCACTGCATCTGGAGTGTTCTGGGAACCTGGTGCCCATCAGGAAGGCCACGCAGCAGCCTCGCAGCTTCAGCTTCCAGGCCTTCAGAGATAACAGGCTGCCCGTCTCTGTCAAGGTCTGCCTCTAACTGACTGCTCGCATGCCTGCTTTTCTGTCACTCAATACATATTCATACAGTATTGTGGTTTTGTTTGTGCAGTTGTTTGGGTTCAGTGTGTGTCGAGGATCCTCTCACCAGTTAGTCAGTTTTCCCTCCTGAGCACCAAACCTGCTGATCCACCAAACAATCTGTTCACATGGTGGTTTCTGTGTGTTTGCTTTTTGCTGTCATATCTATCAGGCAGTCTTTCAGTTTGTCTCACCATTAAAAACCATGTAAAAGTTTAGATAAGAGTGCAGCGCTGTGTTCTCGCAGCACTCTTTCAGAGTAACAGTAACATAGTAACTGCACACCAAGAAAGTTAAATCTACACCAGTGAATGTAGAATAGAGGCATACAAAAATATACAAATTTCACAATATATTTGAACAATATGTCTGTCAGTCAGTCCATTCATCTGTGTGGTTTTCAAATCTTTCTGTCTAAAAAATTGACGAAAATTGAAGTTAAACAGTGTCCTCGATTATTTGAGGGGTTTCATTTCTACTTTATGTTGATTATGGGGTTAATAATAAACCCCTCCTTTATGTGTAATGCTACACAGTTTGTCATTTTGGTTACAGATGCATCACTGTTAAGTTAGTGCTTCTTTCTGATCATAATTGTCGGTCATTTCTGATGTTTTTTAAACCCCCTCTTTTCCATGTTTGTCTTATCATATTCATGTCACTTTCTATTGTGCCTTCATTGGTTTGTCCATTTTATTTGGTAATCTGAATCCACAATTTGTCTGTTGGTGTCTTTCTGTCTATGTGTCTGTCAGTGTGGCACACACTACTGTTAAGTATCAGCTAAATGAATACTTTGATAAATATCTTTCCATTATGGTGTAGCTGAGCAACAAACAGCTTACCTATCTACCTGTTGACTCTCTTGGGTAACCGTTTGCATGTCCTGTGACTCCCTCACTTTCTTTGCCTGCTTTCCAATCTTGCGGCCTTGCCTGTCTGTATGTGTCTGTCTCACTGTCTCTCTTTCTCTCTCTCACGGTCACTCTGTAACTGTCTGGTCTGACAGACGTCCAGGTAAAATGTGCAGGTAAATCTCTCCCTCTCGCCTGCCTGTGGACTGCTTCCATCCCTGTTTCCCCCTGCTTCTCGTCCCATGTTACTGCGCCACATGCTCGAGAGACATTGTGGCGGCATCTAATACCTGTTTTGATCTGTTTTTTCTTCCTCCTCCTCTCTCTTCCTGTTTTATTCTCTTCCTTTCTCATTTGTTCTCTCTCTTACCCTGTCTCTTTCTTTTACTTTTCTTCTTTGCTCCATCCTTTTGTTCACCCTCCTCTCTTCCATTCCTCTATCTGGTTTCTTCTTTTTCCTCCATTTTTTCTCTCCATATTCTTCTCTCTTTTTTTCTCTTCTGCTCTCTGTCTGTCATTTCTCTGTGTTAGGTCAGAGATAGTAACAAGGACGCCACTGGGTTTTTGTCCTTTCTGCGGAAGTGCACCAAATACGAAGACACACAGCATGTACTGTGTAACCTTAACATAACCATGCCGCCATGTGTCAAGGTAAGGACTTTCTTGCAAACACCTCCGCGCAAGCACACACAAATGTTTGAACTTCCCTGTACGTCTGTGTGCTTGATGAGACAGTTGTTATGTGACATAAAAGAAGCCAGTTTTTCTTGTGTTTTTCTACAAGGTAAAACACAATAGCCAATATCATGTTGTAGTTGTGATGTGTGAGAAGGGAATTTAGACATCCGTTATTTCTCACACCTCAGCAAGTGCACGGGAAGGGGGTTGCGGCGGGTGCTGGAGCACCTCCTATTGACAGGGAGGAACATAGTGTGCAAGTTACATGTGCAGACTACATGGGCACTATTGTTACTATATGACAACATAAAATACAAGCAGGTTAGAGCTGAATGCTCTGGTTGATATTACAGCCTAATAATCTGACGTAAACTGCTGTTTGCACTGTTTTGTCACAATTCGAGGAGCTACATTGGTGTGATGGTGGATCAGCTCTTACAATATCTGAAAAATCATGTACGCACAAATAACCCACCGACCTCCAATGTCAAGAGTCGGCTGAGTGAAGGCTGAGGGCTGAGGTGTGGACCCAAATGCAGATTCAGGCGAGGCAAGATGAGGATGCAGTTCAAACAAAGGATTTATTAACTCAAAAACTAAACTAAAACAGGCATACATGGAGTTCAGGGCAAAAGTCCAAACAAGGTAATCCAGGAAACACAAGGCGATCCAAAAACACAGGGAATAATCCAGAACAGGCAATACCAAGGAACACTCAACATTAGACACACAGACAATACAAGGACATGACAAAGACTGAAGACAACTGTGGACAATATATACACTGGTAAACGAGCAGGGAGGGAAGCACAGCTGAGATACATCAGGTAATCAAACAAAGCTAGACAAGGACACCAGGTACAGAAGATTACCAAAATAAAACAGGAAGTAAAGTTCACAGGAACACACAAGGACAGATCTACCGAAGTAAAACACAAAACATGGAAAGAGCAAAATCAGGACATGGACAGAGACGGGACCAAACAGGAGATAAGACTACACTAAAACATGGTGATATAAGACAAAGGACTAAGACAGACCATAATGATAAAACACAGAAGTACACAGATCAGATAAACACTAAACATGAACTAAAGCACAGGACTAAGAACTAAGATGAGAGACAAGACAGTTACTCACAAAACTAAAAGCGAATGAACAAAATAATAAACTAGACTACAAAACTCCGAAACCATGACAAAGCAAATAAACACAGGAAAAACAACAGCACAAAACCAAATCCTAACACCCAACTAATTATTTTCTCAAATTTATCCCACCTCTACCAGTCCTTTTAACTTTCCAGGTGTTTTCTTTATTGTGTTGTTGTATGAGTGTTTTCTTTAATGGTTTTCTTTCATGATTGGAGAGACTGCTGTCTGTCATTTTAAACGTTTCCATGGGCGCAGAAATTAGCAAATACCGTGAGACATTTATGCAGCAAAAATAAAAATTGTAGTTACTGTCGTGTCAAGTAAACTTGACAGGACAGGGCAGAGGAAACTCTTCAGAGGAAACAGAATTCAACATTTAGCTTCTGAAATAATTTAGAGCTCAGCTCCATCAGCACGTCTAAATTATGATTGATCAGGAGGACAGCTGCTTTACTCCAAACAGTTTCACTGTATGTGAGACTGATCCTGTTGGCAAGTTTTGCTGCTGTGCCTCATGCGTAAATGCGCACAGCGTCTCTCTAAATGGGGAGACGCTTCACCCTATTTCACCCACCTGGAAATTCACAAAATGTATCGTCCAAAACTCTGCCCGCAAACAGCGGTGCTCTCAGTTATTGCACACACAAGGTTTTCATGTGTTTCCCCAGGAGTGGATACTGAGCGTGGAACAGTTTTTCAAGTTGAAATGAGGGTAGTGACAGTGTAATCAGCTGCGCCCTCGAGGCCTTCATTTAAGTTGATCTTGTAATGGCTTTTATTCGAATGATTTTATTTATACATACATATAATTAAGGAGGTCCAGACCTCTGTGACCTCATATGACCATGCTTGTAACCACTCTGTGTTGAAAGAAAGTGCGTAAGTACATGCCTACACAGTTGTATCATGCGCACATTTCTACTGTGCAGCACCCCTAAGCGAAAATGTCTTCCCGCGCGCCTGGCTAGACTTTACCCTATATGATTTATATAGGGAAATAATTAAAAATAAGAGTTTGCTGATCCTATCATGCTGACCTGAATAATTTATTTTATTTCAATCAAATTCAACTTGGCTCCTTTTTTATTTGTTGCTCCCCGAATATTGTTAATATTGATAATGATTAAATCTGTTTACGTGAGGTATGTGTGGGGGGGTAATAGAAAACGTTTGAGACTTAAACGAAAACAAATCTACTATTTTTGATCGTTACACCCTTTGGATGAATTTGAACATTTAGTTCCCAAATGATTTCTTACAATGTTTGACTGACCGACTGCTTTAAAGTTAGGGAGACTTGTTTCACTTGTTCACAATGTGATTTTATTTTATTTATTCTTTAGGTTATAGGAAGTGAGGAGCGCAGGCGAACCTTAACCCCCCTCGCCCTGAGGGAACGCTACAGTGCACTGAATGAGCCTGGTGTGGGTGAGTCCTTTACTGCCTGACCTTCAGCCCTCTCCTGATTTACACACAGTGGAGACAGGCACTGAATGTTGCACTGCCCCTTTACCCACAACCCTTCGCTTCCCACTCTGCCCTCTCTATTTTCCCCCTATCTGTCTCGCGTGCACGCATGGCACAATAACTGAGCCTGCTCTATAGTATGCCCCAGAGTTCTTTGCAGTGCAGTTGGTGAAGAAAATCCTATTGAATGTGCGACTAAAAGATAAGCAGCAGTCCCCAACATGACCCAAAATGGCTCCATGACACATGGCAAATTAGCCTTTTCCCCTCCTGAGTGTCCTGGTAGCTATGACTACAGATGAATGACTCCTGTGAGTAGTTTGCATGGCGCTGGTGTCTCCACTGCGATTTCCAATGGCATGGCAGCAGATGCTGTTAGCGTTAGTACTGTAGCTTAGCACTGGGAATGGGCAGGACCTCGCAGTGGAGCTAGACAGAGGAGTCCTTACATTGATTGGCCTGTAGTAAATGGATGCTTGGTTTAAACATTGCTGATGGCGGGGGGTTTTAAGGGGAAAGGCCTTTTCTGTCTATCAAATACACAGCGCTGCTACATTGCACCTCAGTCCCCCTATAATGGTTACTGAATGCTACTTGGTGGGACTATGAATGAACCCCAAATTCTGACCTTATGGTGTCCTAACCCTGAAGATTATTTGAACAAAAAGGATGTTGTGGGTATTGCTTATTTCCTTCAACAGAACAATGCTTTTGTCAAGGTAAGTACTGCCGTTAGCAATTTGAACAGCAACTCAAGTTAATACCAAGTCTTTTAGGACACACAAGGTTCATTGAAACCAAAAGGGAAAATGAAAAATTCTAATAGCAACTATCTGTAGCATTTGAGTATTTATCAATTAACACACATTCTGACAGTCCAAAGTATTATCTGTCCAAACATTAACCCTAGATACTGAATACCTGTAGACTGCTTTGACACGACATTTTACCAGCAAATCATAATCACTTAAAAAACAGCTGGACTCTCCAAATACATTGTGACTTTGATATACTCTACATATATAGTTTTTACATTAAAGTCAGAGTCAAAATCCCCTTAGTTCAGTAAATGTACACTTATTTGTCTTTGTGACACTGGCCTTTTTTCTTTTTTCTTTTTAGCCACAGTGAATGCCATGGAGAGGACTGAGATCAAGATCAACATCATATCTGAACAGCTTGGTTTGAGCTGGGCAGGTGCGTCCTTTAATAGATCTTATCTACCCAGTGCTGGATCTGTCTGTGTTTGTTTGTTTGTTTGTATCTATATATCTGTCCACTTGACTTGTCCCTTTGTCAGAGTTGGCCCGTGAACTTCAGTTTGGTGTGGACGACATCAATAGGATCCGTGTGGAGAATCCCAACTCCCTGCTGGACCAAAGTTCTGCCCTGCTCAACCTGTGGGCCAGCAGAGAAGGCAAAAGGGCCAAAAGTAAGTCTGACATTATTGTTTGTCTCATAGAAATTACCTGCTAGCTACGTAAATACAGTAGTACACATTTATATCAATTGCAGCACAAAGCACAAACATGAATCTGGCATCACATAATCAAATTATTGATCTCTTTTTTGACTGTTTAATTGTCGGATTAACTATATTTTTGACTCTGGCTGTCTACAAGGTATCCTGATGTTTTTCTCTGACTTCCCATGTTTCTTCACTTCCCTGTCCTCACACACATAATTCTATGTTCCTCTCTTTTTTTACATATATTTCTGTCTGCCCCACTCCTGTCAATGTGATCCCCTCTCAGTGGAGAGCCTTTACACCGCTCTGAAGAACATCGACCGTGCAGACATCGTAACCTCTGTGGAGGGTCAAGCTCCACAGCCAGCACCCGGTTCTTCAGAAGAGGGTGCTTGTCGTCTCATCGACCGCGACTCCACCCTGCTGTCCCCCAGTGTCCTCAATGGTAAGACACACAAACACATCAAACATCACACAAGACATGTAATATTCAAATCAGTATCCTTACCAATGGACAGCGAATTACCCCACTACATTTAGACAGCAAAACAATGTGCTAATGCTCTTCAACAAGATATGATTTCATCTTGCATTTATTGTTTAAATTAACACCTTGTCACCTTAAAGCTAGTAAAACAATCTCTCACCAAGGGTAGATCATTTTCACTTCTCTTCTACAGCGAGTTATGAATCCATGTTGTTTTAAGGATGAAGAGTCTTCTCCATTCAAGTTATGTTAAGTGACATAAGTGAGTTTTAGGGTGAATGAAAGATGAAATAACTGTAAAATGTGGAATGTATACTCAGCCTATTCATGGCAAGACTGGTGTTAAGGTTTGTTTGATTGTTCCATGATGATCTGTTATGATCAGAAATGGAAAGTTTACAGGAATTTCCTGCTCAAACAGATTTGAATTGAAGTCAGTTACTGCCAAGTGCAGTGTTTATATATATATATATATGATGAATCATGAGGAATAGCCATTTAATGGTTCAAAGGGATTTTTTTAATTAAAATTAAAAATTCTGAATATTTACAAGAATATTCATTGAACAAACATCTGAAACTTCATCAGAATGATTCTGCGCTAATTTCGCAATGATTCCTGCAGGAGGTATTTACTAATTTAAAAACTCTGACAGAATATTTCAGCACAACAAGGTGAACTGTGTCTCATTTACTTTCCACCTCTGAAAACCTCCCTGCTTCCCTTTGAGTGTGGGGTAACAGCCGTTTCACCTTGTCTCTGTTGCTCCACAAGAGGTCACGGACACAAGGCCACCGCGCCTAGTGCGCAAGCCACGAGTTATTAGACCCCCGTTTTTCAGGAGGGGTAAGTTGAAGTTGAACTCGGGCTGCATGGTGGTTTGCTGCTCATGACATGATGATGATGATGAATCTCAAATAGTGTTGAGGTCTGAGGAATGGTGTCATTCTCCCACCATGAACCCGGCCTTTTTGCAGCATGCACTAACACCGCCTCTGTGCATTCCTCACTGGGGCACAAGTCATTTTTATTTTTCAGTTACAGTTTTTCACATGTCATACTTGAGCCCTGAACATGATGGTTCTGATTCTTCACACTTAATATGAGAAACGAGGATAACTGTTATTACTTGTTATTACTGACAGGATTTTGGGGGTTAAAGGAGATATTTTTAAGGCCAAACAAGGCAACACTTAACATATGGGTAATTCCTGATTGCCAGTTAAAGATGATTGAGATTGTTAAGATTATATGTGTGTATGTTCTTCTGTGTGTACACAGACGTGTGTGTGTGTGTGTGTGTGTGTGTGTGTGTGTGTGCGTTTGTGCGTTTGTGCGTGCGTGTGTGTTTGTGTGTCTGGGATGGAAACACTAGTCAAAAGTGGCGCAAGTACACAGATGATAGTGTGTTCTGGGCCTTCATACCTTGTTTCTATCCCTCCCTCTTTCTTTCTGTCTGTCTTTATTTCTCTTTCTTTCCCTGAGAACAAGACAGAATTTCACTTTTGACTATGCTTTATTAACAGCGGATATTGTAACAAATCTGCAGCACTGTAGTGGTCTTGAAATTTTGTCTTTAGCTCAGGATATTCACTCTCTGTCCTTCTTTCAGTCTGTCTCTGAACCTATGACATGTCATATCTGCTGCCCAGCCGCCCTGCTCCTCCTCCTCCTCCTCCCCTTTCCTGCTCTTCTTCCTCACAGCTCTTCCTGTCCGACCTCTGACCTCATATGACCTCATGTTGACCTCTGGGCCTCCTCCTCTCTTGTCATCTTGTTTTCCTGCGCTCCTCTCTCGTTTAGTCGAGCGGGACCCTCTCCTCCTTCTCTCAATCCAGCTCTGTGTGTGTACTACAGTTTGTGCATGTGCATGCTGCATGCTTTGCTGTTATAGTATCTGTGTGTGTGTGTGTGTGTGTGTGTGTGTGTGTGTGAATGTTTCTGACCTGGGCTTTAGGTAATATGTAGCTGAATTTGCTAATATTCAAAGAAAGTCAAAAAAATGTAGTTTAGCTTGCAAGGAATTTACGTGTATGCATATTTTGTCTTGTTTTTAAGTGTTTGAAATACCTTGCAAGATAAATTAGGCACAGTTAATGCTTTAGATACGTCAAAATAGCTTAAAATAAATTTTGAGCCAGGTCTATGTAAGACGTGTTTTGTCTGTACAGTTACTGGGACTTGTGAATGAGGTGTTTCCCAAAACCAAATAAAGTTTGCTGTTTGCTGTTTTTGACTCTAACATCTTTATGTGCATGGCATGCTTTTAATGTATATTTTCTTCACAGTGTAAAATGTTTTCTCTGTCCAATGGGTGTATTTCAGTCTTGTTTTTAATGATATATAAACAAACAAATGGGTTTTCATTTTCCTTTTCTGTAAAAATAAATGGTATAATTTGCCGCTGTAACACAACTCAGCTACGCAGCACGTAACATTCATTGTTGCTGTGACATGTCATCTTTCACTCATGGGCAAAATAACTGCAAATTATTCTTATTCCCTCATTTTATAAAGAAAATAAATGTTTTGTGCAGTTAAGGTGAGCAGTTACTACATGTCAATGTAAAATAAATTATTTTAATAAAATGATCTAAATCCAGATATTTTAGTTTGATTTTCATAAACTGTTTTGCCCAAGTCTGATGACAAACTCACTGTTAACATTGTCTGTACGTTATCTGCTAGCAGGGATATTGCTGTGAGGTGTGCTTTTGTATTGGTTTTGGGTGTGTGTGATTATCTCTGTACATTTTCGGCTCACTGTGTGCCAAAAGTGCGTGTCTTCCTCATCTGTATTTCAATATGAGTGCAGTATTGTATGTGTGTACAGTGATAAAGTGAGTAGCGTGTTGTCCTTTTTTTTTCTTTTGCCATGGCAAACTTTGTGGAGTTTATTTGTGCCTCACTACATCCTGTGCCTTTGACACCTGTGTGTGTGTGTGTGTGTGTGTGTTTTGTTTAAATAGCAGGAGTGAAGGGAAAGGCTAACCCAGATTCATCTTAACTCATTCTAACTCTCATTCCTCCCCATTCATCTCAATCTGACGCCGCCTCTCATCCCCCTGGCCCTGTACCATCCCAGAAACACTCACACACAAGATTACTCACATTTTAGTCCGTTAGCACAAAACCTCTGACAGAATATGACTTATATAGTAAAGAGGTATTTCACCCAGTAAAACATACTTTGTAGATAGATTACATTAGAAGAAGTTTTCATTTTCAGGTGCTGGTAAGCTTCAGATTATTTGCTCTGATTAATCTGTTTTCTGCTCATAGCTAGACCTAAATGGCTTACTGTATATATTTAACATGGGTTATTTCTGTAAAACACGTACAATATCTCACAAAAGTGAAATGACACTTTGCTACAATGTAAAGTAGTGAGTGTAAAACTCGTAAATTTGCTGTCCCCTCAAAATAACACATCACACAGTCATTAATGTTTAAACTGCTGGCAACAAAAGTGAGTACACCCCTAAGTGAAAATGTCCAAATTGGACCCAAAGTGTCAATATTTTGTGGGGCCACCATTATTTTCCAGCACTGCCTTAAACCTCTTTGGCATGGAGTTCACCAGAGCTTCACAGGTCGCCACTGGAGTCCTCTTCCACTCTTCCATGACAACATCACGTAGCTGGTGGATGTTAGAAACCTTGTGCTATTCCACCTTCCGTTTGAGGATGCCCCACAGATGCTTAATAGGGTTTTGGTCTGGAGACATATTTGGCCAGTCCATCACCTTTACCCTCAGCTTCTTTAGCAAGGCAGTGGTCATCTTGGAGGTGTGTTTGGGGTCGTTATCATATTTGAATACTTCCCTGCAGCCGAGTCTCCGAAGGAAGGAGATCATGCTCTGCTTCAGTATGTTGGCATTCATGGTTCCCTAAAAAAACTGTAGCTCCCCAGTGCCGGCAGCACTCATGCAGCCCTAGACCATAAAACTCCCACCACCATGCTTGACTGTAGGCAAGACACACTTGTCTTTGTACTCCTCACCTGGTTGCTGCCACACACGCTTGACACCATCTGAAACAAATAAGTTTATCTTGGTCTTATCAGACCACAGGACATGGTTCCAGTAATCCATGTCTGCTTGTCTTCAGCAAACTGTTTGCGGGCTTTCTTGTGCATCAACTTTAGAGGAGGCTTCCTTCTGGGATGACAGCCATGCAGACCAATTTGATGCAGTGTGCAGCATATGGTCTGAGTACTGACAGGCTGACCCCCGACCCCTTCAACCTCTGCAGCAATACTGGCAGCACTCATACGTCTATTTCCCAAAGACAACCTCTGGATATGGCGCTGAGCACGTGCACTCAACTTCTTTGTTCGACCATGGCGAGGCCAGTTCTCAGTGGAACCTGTCCTGTTGGTCTTGGCCACCATGCTGCAGCTCAGTTTCAGGGTCTTGGCAATCTTCTTATAGCCTAGGCCGTCTTTGTAGAGCAGCCATTCTTTTTTTAAGATCCTCAGAGAGTTCTGTGGCATGAGGTGCCATGTTGAACTTCCAGTGACCAGTATGAGGGAGTGTGAGAGTGATAACACCAAATTTAACACACCTACTCCCCATTCACACCTGAGACCTTGTAAAGCTAAAGAGTCACATGACTCCGGGCAGGGAGAATGGCTAATTGGGTCCAATTTGGACATTTTCACTTAAGGGTGTACTCACTTTTGTTGCCAGCGGTTTAGACATTAATGGCAATGTGGTGTGTTATTTTGAGGGGACAGCAAATTTACACTGTTATACAAGCTGTACACTCACTACATTACATTGTAGCAATTTGTAATTTCTTCAGTGTTGTCACATGAAAAGATTTAATCAAATATTTACAAAAATGTGAGGGGTGTACTCACTTTTGTGAAATACTGTATGTCAGCTTATCTAAAAATGTAAAAACATTATAGTGCAATAAACCTCTCAGAGAATCAAGTTAAGCTTAATTAAGATTGCACAGTGTGCCTCTTACCTCTTAATACTTTCCACAGTTGTAGTTTGAAATGAATTGTGAAATACAGTTGTCGATGTATAGCCTCAAAGTGACACAAATTGCTATTCATTCATTGATTGTAATTAATTGATTCCTATAAACAAATCCCCTTTGTCTCTGTCTACACCTAATTTGCTAGCTTATAATCACAACATTTTAATGCAAGCAATATTTTAACAAAGTAAATTTGTAAAAACTGGCTGTAAAGTTAAACAGAAAAGATTCTCATAACACCTTATGGTTGTGCTCACACCTTGGGTTTTGCTTTGAAAGCCTCATCGCAGCCTCTACATAGTTTTCAGATTTTTGTGGTTTTAACCTTTCAGCTTGATACATAAGGTGGCATCACACCTTGGTGGATTAGGGTTAGAATGTGAATAGTGTGAACGCATCGTAATTTTAATTTTTGGGTGAAGTACTCCTTTATTGTTCAATTTCACTTTATTGCATTCATCTGAACTCATTGGTGCAAAAATGTTATCAAAAACATTTATATTAAATACTGAATATGTTTCAATATTTATTTATTTTAATAGTTTTAATTCATTTATTGTAATATTAATTTAATTTAACCATGTCTTTTTGTTAACCTTTAATAATAGATTAATCAAAATGCCTCTCAGTCAAATAATTAAAAGTGAACAAAGGAAAAAACACCAGCTGAAAAAAATACAATAAAATAAATAAAAGTGATCAAGGTCCAGACTGTATATCAAAAGACTGAAAGTAAATGAATATTAAGTTTCAGAGATAACATTATATGCTCCTTGATTATCATGGACTATAGATATAGATTTTGATATGAATATAAATCACATAATTAACATACCACATACTTGTTTTCCCTGAAATTAATATAATGTGTGTTTGTGTACTTGATAGTGTGTTTGTGTGTGTCCTTGTGTATTCTGCTTGTGTTGTTGCAGTGTATGACATCTTGCTAATACAACCAAAGTAGAGCAACAGTTTATTGTCAAATACTGAACAGATAAAAAAAGTATTTTGTTTATACAATGATTATTACTTTTAGGTGTAAAAAAGTGTTAAATACTGTTTGATATCCAGACAATATCATTTATTCATTTACAACAACGAAGTCCTCCTGGATTTTAAGAGGTTTACTGAATAACAAAATAAAACATGCTGTAACCAGGTGATTTGATTATATGTTAAACTTTAGAAAGTCCTTAAACATAATAGGTATGTCTAATGTGTGTGTATTAATGTGCGCACATATGGGTGTGTGTGTGTGTGTGTACACTGACCTTTATTTGGGTGCTTGGGGTGCAGACATACAAATGCATGACTCTGATGTGTAACTACAGGAGAAGGCAGTCCTTTGCGTTTTCCTCTGCAGAATCTGCAGCGTGTGACAAGGGTTGGAACGATAATAGAGACGATTTATTACAGCTTTGCTTTTTCTATCAAGGCTGCTGGGATACCGTAGAAAAAGTACAGCACCCAGCCTCTGCCTTTATTGGTCAACACCAGATCTAAAGAAGAAAAAATTTTAAATGATTTTTGTCTGAACACGTATCTGTGAGGGCCAGATTTAAAATGTGCAGTTCCTCATTTAAATACCGGTATTGTAATTTCCTTACTAGCTGTATGTAAATCCAACAGTATTTATGGACATGAGCTTGTGAGCTCCAGTAACAATCAGGATTCTAAAATCCAATTGAAGCACTTTCCTCAGATGATACTGTGTTACTAAAGCTGATATCGTGCCAACCCCACAATCAATACACTAAATAACTCTAGATTCACCTCTTTTTTTTTCACTTATCAAGGAACGCAGTGTTGTGTTCTGCAGATTCACTTTCTTACCTGGCAGTAAACCAGAGCCCTCCATCATTCACCTCACAGGCAATGGATGATGCACCAAACCCCTTTGACCCTCGCCTCACTCGTATGGCTGTGTCCCAATGATAATAAGGAAGCTGGTTTCAGAATGAAAGACAAGTATTGTTCTTGTGTTCTGCCTTTCAAACTGAAAGTGGTATAAAACACACTGGCTTGGATTTATTGGAGTCATGTGGCTGGTTCAGGATCAGTATATCTTCCTTTTTACACCTAAAAATGGATTAAAGGATATCTTAAAGCTGGTGTAGGCAACGTTGGAGAACTAGCACGTGACAGCTAGATTTTGAAAGTATCCACCTGTCCCTACATTCGGACCTAATGAAATGATTGCAGCAGCTACAGATAATCAAAAAAATTTTAATGTTTGTGCTAGAGCATTTGATTTATTGACTGTTGATTGATTGATTGGAGTTAAAGACAATTTAATTAATATAACAAAAAAGGCTTCTGAAATAAATTGCCTACCCCAGCTTTAATCTAAATTTGTGGCTTAGTAAAGACAAACTAGTCTCTTTCCTGGTGTATTGGGACAGGGCTGAGCCCCACTGTTTCCTCATAGGTTGGAGAAACAGTCGATCCACCACCTCCCCATCCTCTCCCTGGCTGTGCCTGCGTGGTGTTAGTCTTTCTCTTGTCTCGCCCCTGTCTTCCCTCCAGGTTATGGGCTGGTGCAGGATGAGCTGCTGTCCCCGGCCTCCATGCAGTACAGCTTGCCTTCTCCACTGGGCATAGAGCCCTACTGGCAGGAAGTCTCCAGCCTCGAGTGTGCCCCTATTGCCACCACCGAAGAAGACACATTAATGGAGATGTCAGACGTTCAGGTGTGGCCAGCAGGGGTCAGCCCCTCGCTGGTTACGGTGGAGGACTCATCGCTAGAGGGCAGCAGTCGGGCTGACGACTCAGAGGGCGCCACGCTCTCCCTTCCCTGCAGCTTGGGTCGCCCGAGCAGCGGTGCCAGCGGGGCCAGCGGCTCCATCATGGAGCTGGAGGAGGAGGAGGATGAGGAAGGGGAGGTTGAGGAGGAGGAGGCACCACAGGAGCCAGCAACTACACTGGCAGAAAGGGACAGGGTGAGGGCCAGTGGCGCCGTTCCCAAGGTCAACCTAAATGGCCAGCTGGGAGGTCAGAGGTCGGATAAGAGGAGAGGGGAGTCCCTCGCAGCAGGAGGAGGAGCATATGGTGGGGGAGGTGTTGGGATGGGTTCAGTGGAAGGAATTTCTGTTGTTGCAGGCCAGCAGGTGTATGCCCAGCGGTGTGAGATGTTGGGACTGAGTCGGGCTGCGGAGCACAATGGAGATAACCGGTACGTCACAAATCTGATTATATTGTGTGTTGTTTTCCATTATTTGTACTCAAAATGGCAACATACTGTTTCTCCTGTCTCACTTTGTTGTTTGTTTTTTTATTTATTTCTCTCTCGCTTTGCTTTACTTGTATTTTGCTCTCCAGAGTGGTCGGAGGCGGCGCATTTCAGCCCTACTTACCAGACAGGGACTCCCTGCAGGGCTGGGTGGGCTCGGTGTCATCGGGACGTGGAGACAGCGGGCCAAGCTTGCGCGTGGCCCAGGAGGCTCTGCTGACTCCGGTGTGTGACACGGGTTTCTCTTATGTGCTGCGTGGGCGCCTCCTGCAGGGCACGCAGCCCTTTGACAGGGGGCTGGGCTTCTCTCACCAGGAGGCGGGCCAACGTGCATGGGAGCAGGAGCAGAGGCGGGGCCAGGTCAGGTTGCCACGCCGACCCCCTGCTGCTTCCTGCGCCTGGAGAGGGAACATCTTTGTCCATTCCTTCTTTTTTGAGTTATAAGATGGGAAGACAGTCATTCAGTTTGATTTACTCATGACCATCAATAATTTTAGCCTCACTCAGCAATCATCAAAATTGATTATTTTGATGATGTATCAGAACAGCAACAGAATGATGCATTGTGAGTTGCAACACATGGGAAATGTCTGCCATGTCCGATTTTATGGTTTACTTTTCTGCTTGCAAACAATATTGTTGTAGAAATATGAACACTATGTCCTGCTATTTATATGTAAATTGTGTTTGTTGTTTTTTTACAGAGAGAGGAGAAAGAGGACTATGCTGCTGAGGCGCAGTTTGTTTCTGAACACGGAAACCAGCTTGCTCGAAAGGTGAGTCTGTCGGTCGTGTTTTCATCATTTACGCTGAGTCATATTCACACACAAACTCTGTAAACCCAGGCAGGCAGCATTTCACTGTGAAACAGTCACATAGCCTGGCACAAAGGGTAGGAAATTAACGGCAGCCACCAGCCAAATGTTGGTTAAAAGTATTGTGTCCCTATTGGCATTAGATTTGACAACTATGAGTCAGAGTTAATGATAATTTGGACTTTAAAAAAAATAAAAAAAATGAAATTAGATATTCATATATTAAAGACATTGATATATTAAAAGCTGCAAGACCTAGTTGTACAAAATGAGTGTTGAAAAGTGAGACATCGCCATCTTTCATCATTGGCAAAATGTGTGCACATTTGTAAACTGATTTGATATATCGAACAATGTGCCTGAGGCAGTGAAGTGTTTTGGAAATGATCTCTTCCAACCTGATTGGCTGACAAATTGCTGAATGTAGAACAGTGACAGCTGGTGAATTTGGGGACTGCAGTGAGCCACAGTGGCTGGCCGGTGGACAGACAAGTTAGTTTCCTGCTCTGGTTACATGTTGAGGCTTCGGCAGTTAACTCGTCCGAGTGTTGTTTCCTTCCCTCCTCCCTCCGTCCTTGCTCTAGGTGGGGGTGGATGTGAGAAAGGGCGCTCAGTCAGTGCAGCGCACCAGTCTGCGGAGAGTTAAACACTGAAATACACATACTACCCAGTCCTCCAGGTACGGGAAACACAACAAGCACTTGTGCATCCCAGTGCTTGGAAAGAAGCCTGTATGGCAACACATTAGAGCTCAGTACTCTCCCACATGCTGTTCTGTTTATTTATGTTCAAAATTAAAACCCTAGATTTGGTATTCAGTGCACTTTGATTATATATATATTTTTTGGAAGGCCGAAGTCATTTAGCCTGTCTTTTAACGTGTGTTAATGTTGCCTCTCTCTGTTTTCTAGGACCGGAAAGCCACTGCCAAACCATCCTCCACAAAAACACAACCAGACCGCAGAGGAAAATGAGCAAGGGACGAGTAAGACAAAGACTAAGAAGTGTAAACCACAAAATGACAAACACAGAATCATCCTCAACGTGTGACCATGGAGCACCACAAAAGAAAAGAGACAGATGGGGGTAAAAAAGAGGAGTTCAACTTGTAGTTTTATAACATTTGTAAAGAAAAATATCAGCTAGACTAAGGCATGATGATTCTTTCTTTTTTTCTTTTTCTTTTTCTTTTTTTTTCTTTTTTTTTACAAAAAAACCCATAAATATCAGTAAAACAAACCAAGAAAAAAAAGCAACAAAAAGTGCTTCCTGTGAACTGTAATCGCATGATGACTGCTGGTGCATGCCCTTTGACCTTTTGAACTGTCATTATCTATAAACTGAAGGGGTACAAGGTACGGGGCTGGCCCACGCTTGGGACAAACAGGCCATTCTAAGGACCCCCACCCCCCACCCCACCCCCCTAAACTGGAGTGGCAAGCAAGTTGAGTCTAATAACACAACAGCCAAAAAGAAGTCCCTGGATGGATGGTTCTGTATACAGCTAAGCCTCTGCTGAGCCTACTGCTTCTTTTCACTGGACCCTTTCCCTTATTATTCTCAATGTGATATATGCACTCTATGCTACGTGGACATGTGTCAGTGTGTGTATGTGTGCGTATGTGTGCGTGTCTTCTTCTCTACCGCATGTGTTTCTTGCTTCTGGCTTGGCGCAGAGCCCTGCCTCATGATTGGCTCGCCGCCCCTGTGATGTCATGGTGTGCTCAGTGCTGGAATGAAAAGCCCGCTGTGCTCCCCTGCTGGTGAGTGTTCCTGTCTGCGTGCGTTAGCGTCTTTTTCCGTTTGTGGATGAAGCTACTTTCTCGTTATTCGTTCCTTTGAAACCCGTCCACCTTGGTGTCAAGCGTCGTTCGGCCCTTGGATAGGGAGCTGAAGCTCTTTTAACCCCTTGTGTTTTCAGGGGAAATGTGTTTTTCAGACATGGGGAATGTTTTCTTCGGAAAGGGGTTGATTGCTTTATTGCGGCTCTACAACACAAAGATCAGCCTTTTCCCTCCCTTTTGACCTTTTCAACCTGCTTCCGTTATTCCTCCCTGTTGCGCACATCACTTTAACTCATGATCTTTATCAGTAGCCTCAGTCAATATGCAGTAAAAATCACAGGCCACTCTATCGGCAACTATAGCTACTCCATAAAATGTTATAAACTTTGTGTGTGCTCCCTCTTTATCTGTTTGCAACGACTGTAGGGCCTCACTGTCAAATTTCCGGTTCATTCATTTGAAACACAGTGAATGAAGTGGAGAAATCGTTGGAGGATCTGATTCGTGTGAGGATGTAGAGATTTGGAGGGTTTCCGGTTAAACGAAGTGTAAAACAGCACGATGCCACTACGACATGTGATGGTGATGGTAACTGTGCAGCGAGGACAGACAGGTAGCACTGTGATTGTCTTATTAACACTGACCCCAGACTCGTGAACTGTGAAGACACAAAAACATTCATATACGAACAAAAGCACACTCAGACACACACCTGTCCATATACACATACATAATCAGAAACACATTACATCATCAAACAATTATTGCCTGGGCCGAGTGTCAGATCGTTTCTGGAGTCTGCTACAGCAATAATACTTAACTTAAGGATTTGAAACTGAACGGTGTTAATGACTGAACTCCTCAGTGAAGACAGAAACTTCATCCAGATGAACAGCAAACGAGTTTGGCATTGGACAGATCGACCTTCATGTGAATGAGTCAGAGAGGATACACTGATGCAAGATCAGACTCATCTGTAGCGTGTGAGACTGTGGAGGCCTGGGAGGGATTATTTGTTTTTCAGCACTAAAAGTAGCAAAATATGAACCAGGATATTTTCACTTAATAAACTAATACCTATTAAGGAGTTTGCTGCTGCCGTAAGGTGGACACCACCTAACTCCATTTTTGTTCTCTGAGTTATTAAGTTGTAGTTGTTAATGTTTCACAATTTAAAAAAACTAAAAACGGTGGCATCACTGTAAAACACCACTTGTTCTCTTCATCTCTGAAACACTTACTTTATGCAGAAACCTGACGGCAGCACAATGAAAGGGTCATATCATAGTAGCAGACATTTCCTGGAAATCAAAAGACAATATTTTTAAGTACTGTAAATGCTACTGTAGCCTGTATGAGCGAATGAACACATTAGTTACGCATCACACACAAATGCACATATTTTCCATGCCCAGTCCGTGCACACGAGAGCCTCATCCGATATAGCACATGTTTATTACATATCACATGTTTTCCACTGTTACTCCACTCAGGTTTTCAGTTCTGCTCTGTCAGAATCAAAATATTTCCGTTTTTAAGTTCTGAGTCCTCCTCTCAAATGCGAGTGCGGGACACAAAGTGAGCGGGCGGGATGGGGATGCACGGGGGGTTTGGGGGTAGACGTATGAAGCAGGATGGTTTGTGTGTAAGTGTGTGTGTGTGTGTGTTTGTGGTGGGAATCTCTTTGATTAAATTAAGACCAAATAAAGGACACAGAGTATTGAGTATGTGGCCAGTAACCACTGAATTCTTTGCCCTGCGCATGCAAATGTGCATTTGAGAGGCAAACGTCTCCGTCAGTTGTGTGTATCCAAATTCATTTCAAATAGTGATGAACAGAAATGAACCACGGTGAAGCGTTACTCCCTCGACAAAGACGTACACCAAATAAAACAAGACAGTTTAATTTTATGAATGTAAAGCTAATTTCTCTTCACTGTTTGCAGCTGCCTGCAGGGACTGCCAAAACACAGTCCTTACAGTGTTTTCCATTTTTGACCCACCAAACAAGACAACCTCTATTTTTATTTACAATGTGTCAAAACTGTAAACTGGCATGATTGATGCAGTTTACAGCTTGTGGATGATGGAGGCGGGTGACTCCCTCTTTGTGTTAATGTATTAGATAGTCGATATTTATCATCTTCTACTGTATCGGCACAAGAAAGAGGTTGGATTTAGGCATTTTAAAGAAAATCAACGACATAATCTTGTGGTGTTCTTGTGTGATTCATAATCCTTAAGATCCTTTTTACAACAGCCATTCAATATATTTGCATGGGAAATTGACTCTACACTATATACTAGCAGTTTTATGATGCAGACAACAAAAATAAACATGTCTCAAGTAACGTGCAAGACAGCATTCAATCAGTATTACCGTGTCAGATGACCCTGTTGGCTGCATTCTTTAGTCTTCATGATGAATCTTATCATGCAGTTTGTTTGGTTGTGCTTTACACAAGTTATTCTTCTTTGTCCTTTCTGGTAAAGAAGCCATCAAGGCTATAGTAGCCACTAAAAATGTGTGTGGAGGAAGCTTTGAAACGTATTTAGATTATAATGTAGAAGATTCAATTTACAGAAAATATTGTAAATGGCACCAATAATTGAATGTGAGAATCTTTTTGGGGGGGATAATCAGAAACATATGAAAGGGTAGGGCTTTGTCAGGGAAGATAGAAGTATTTCTAAAATCCAGACAGGTTGCCTCTCAAAGTGTGTTTGCTGTTAAAAAAAATCACACTTGTTACCACCAGTAACCACAGGTGTCACCAAATCAGCCAAGACTAAAATCTTAAGGATCATAACTTTAACTTGCGAGCCGTTATCCCCTTGTTTAGCTTGCACGCAAAAGACCAGATATTGATAAATCTTGAGGAAATGTACACTTTGCCTGAGAAGTTATCTATGAGGTAGTATTATTTTAACAGAAATCTGAGGTGGATTTTTTGCAAACATGAATTTGGATTTTCAGTGTGAACTAGTCGCAGGTCCCCACCCCCCAAAATCAAATCATTTGAATCCATTTTTTGGAGGGGAATCAAATTTATTTCTCTAGTTTTTTTGATAAATTCAAACTCTACCATGTTTGTGTTACACCGGTATGTAAAGTGTGTGTGAGTGTGTGAGATTGTGCTTGTTGGACCAGGGGGAAGAAGAGAGACCGTTTTTACCGTTTTGTGACTTGAGAGGAAGTGTAACCTATGACGATGTATTAAAAAAAAAAAAAAGTATTGTAAAATTTTAACTGTTGCGAAGAATAGAGCTCACCTATACTCCTTTAGAATGGATACATGACAATGTAAACGCAATATCATATTACTCTATCCTAAGGAATGCAACTGCGCACATGCACAAAAAAATATGTTTTTATGAAAATATATGTATAAATATATGACAAAATATATTTAATTAGAATGCTATGCACCCTCATAGAGTTGTTATGGATGTTCTTTAAGCATTACCTAGACTAGGCCAACGCCCACATCATGGGGAATGTAGAGGCTTTGTAGCTATGACCACTTGTTTTCTTTTCTTTTGTATTTGTCCTGGAGGAGAGGATAAACAAACGTGAATATGTATACAAGCCTTTCAGTCAGAATCATTTTGACATGAAGATATGTATAGATCATCTTACCCTGTACACCAGCTCAAACCATTTACAAGAATTAATAAACAAAGATGTGACATAAATGTTTTGTTGTGTTTTTGTAATAAGGGAAATGAGTGCAGCCTGTTTGGATGTATTTTGCTTTAATATTCCTTCATAGATTGTGTATCCAGTGTAAGTTTAAAGGGGTATGTGTACCTCATATGAAATCTCTTTTAAGTAATGCTTTATTTCATGAGGCCAAGACATATGTTAACATATATATATGTTCCTAGAAGGTCTCCTGGAAAGATCTTAATAGATTTGTTAGGTTTATAAGAGGGATTTGATAGAAATGTAACTCATATATTACTGTATTTTCAATATATGTTTATAATATACTTAAATACACTTACATAAATGCAGAGGTTGATTTGGCTGTACTGTATTTTTGCTAAGACTACAGACACTTTTTTTTTTGGTCACATGAAGAAGTCTCGTTTTGTGACGCCCCCTGTTTTCAGCCAATCACAGCTTTCTGCTCCACGTGTGGCTTTGAAGGCGGTGCCTAGGTTGTTTTGGATGTTCTCGCAGCACGTGGAGGCGCAAGGGAAGTTTTCTGTGATCTGACTGTAAAACGTCCCTCAACACTGTGCGGCACACTCGAAACAACTTCCCCCGTCTGTGAAGTTTTGAGTAGCACAAACAGTCGGTGGTGTGAGAGATGTCAGCGGCAGGTCAGACCTCCAGGAGCCGGGATATCCCGGCCGTCAGGCGGGTCACCATCCACGATGTTGCGCACATGCCCCAGGATTACTCCACGACGCCCGGAGGGACTCTGTTCAGCACTACACCGGGAGGTAACGATGCACTGGGTGTTTGGTCAGTGGTCAGGAATGTTAAATAGGAAAACAAAGATTCCACAAAACTTAAATGTGATTAGGAATTACAAGAAAAATGTTTAAGAAAAGGGGGATGGTGCACAAGAAGACACAAGGACAATAACAGAGTTTTTTCAAATGTTGTTTAAAGCCTTGAGCTGGAGATAGGCAGTGTCATAGAGATAAGTGATTAAGACCCAGAATACACCCTGATGCTTGTCTATCCTATCAGTGAATGGGTTACACATAAAGATTGCACCTTAGATTTAGATTTTGTGACACTACAGAGACTAAGTGAATTGTTAATGTGAGTTAAAAGGTCGTTTTCTTAGTTATTGTGGCATGAAAACAGTACATGGTAAGGGAAACTCTTCTGAAAGCCAGGCTATAGGTATTGTCCACAGTTCTGTTGTGCTGTCCTGTTAATGTTTGACAGTGTTGGTGCTTTGTGAAGGCTAAAGACCACCAGGTACCAGGGTTAAAGGACTAGAGTAATCCTCTGTTCCAAATCCCTTCAGTGTAGCACATTGCACGGCCCTTTTCACTATATATATGATTGTTTTTACCTCTGGACAGGCAGACAATCTGAAGAACCTCTCCCTGTCTTCAAACCAATGGAATGATTGTGCTAAACTGTTGTCAATCAATATTTCATGCATTCATTTTGGTCTTCATGGCGTCATGTAGTATTTCTATGTATGTATGCTAAGTCTCTAACAATCAGAGACTGTACTTGGTCCAGCAAGTTTTATGTAAATAAACTTAACATAGGTTTTAGAAACACTCAATTATGAACAGCAGACTTCTGAATTAAGTGTCAGCAGCCTGTAGCTGTAGATTACTCACATAATCAATGACTGTATGGTCAAATATAGGCCCGGCTCTGTCATATCCTATTTATAGTCTTGTTATTACAGCAGTCTGATGTTGAGCTGCAGCAACATGTTTACTATGTGGGCTGCACAAGGTCTGGATATATTAAATAGGGGAATAATGAGCTAATAATTAACTTATGGATTTGCAACATATTTGTTTGTGGATACATGAAAGTTGCTAAAAAAAAATTTTAATACACTCATCTCTATTTTAGCTTCTATGATAAACTAAATTACATAAAATGTTATTGGATATCATTTTTGATATAGATTAATAATGGAGACAATGCAGGAAACCAAAAAAAAAAAGTTTTAAAAACTAATCAACTTCAGTCAACAAGGAAACTGGATGGATATTAATACTAGTTCTCAGCACCAACAACAACCAACTACAGAGAGTAAAAGTCAGTCCCACTGTCATCTACACACCGAGCAGTTTGGCTCACTTGTTCAATATTTTACTGAAACATCTGCAAGCTTGAGACCTTGTGAAATCTGTGTGTTGAGAAAACTAAAGCAGAAAATGTTTTCCTTCTGTGGTTGTGAGAAAGGTGACGCAGAGTGCACATGTTCATTTGAACTGATACTGTGTTCTGTAACATTACCAGGTGGGACAGCTTTATACAGATAAAACAGAACTGGGTCAGTGAAAGTGTGTCAGCGTCACCGATATGGATGACAAAAGGTCGTTAGTCATGGTTATGAGTGGACACTGTATACAGTAAAGGCACAACTGTATACATACACACATACACACGCAGTATATTAAATGTTGCTGTCCTTTTCCTTTAGTTTGATTTTAAATTGAAAGGTTTTTTTCCTTGTCAACCGGTGTTTAATGTTGGTTATATTATTTTGTTTTCAAGTAGTTACAACTGTTAGAATTTTTTATATTTTAGTTTGGTTTGCTTTATTTTATCCTTTTTGTATTTACTTATAATGTGGATGTTAGCTGATGATTCTGTATTTTTATTTCCATTTCAACTAGTAACAAGTGTTAAATATCAAGGTTAGCAGATTAATTTTATTTGAACTTATTTTATTTTTAAGTAAAACTGACTGTGGTATAGTAGCCAAAACTAAACGTTTGATATTAGTAACTTTTCCACTAAAGTAACACAGCTTCTGCAAATACTGATCACTTGAAATTTCCAGCTACTATACTGTCATTTGTTTGGCATTGCAAAATATTGGTAATAAGTAACTTTGGTTCCCTTTGCTGCCATCTCCTGCAGGTACCAGAATCATCTACGACAGGAAGTTCCTCCTGCAGTGTCGGACGTCTCCTCTGACTCGTACGCCTCCCAACCTGCCCGACATCCCAGGAGTCACCCGGCCACTCAAACCCGACTCCTCCAGCAACACAAACCAGCCTGAACAGACTCCCAGCAATAACACCAACCATGACCTGCATACAGAGGAGAGTGCAGGTAAATGTGTCTGGATTTCTCAAACGTGAACGAGGGAAATGAGCTGCTAATCCTGCTTTTGTTTCTGTAATTGTCTTCTTCCCTCTACTCAACTGCACTGTCTTTTCTTTTTCTAGAAGACTCCCTGTTTGAAATGGACATCTGAAGAGAGTCAGCTACAAGGACAAAGTGATTCCCAACATTGTCATCGCTTTTATTGTTTACTTGGATAAAAATATCAGTTGAAAGGAGAAGCCTAGTCATACTAAGCTGTAATCCACTTTCAGATTTCTGAAAAGAAAATGTTTTGTTTTTTTGTAATGCTTAATATGTGTTAAAGTGTTGTACTTGTATAAAACAACACTAACTGATGGATACAATTCACATTTGACAAGTAAGTCTTGTTAAAATTAAACCATTCATATTTTATGTGATTTGACTCATTTGATGACTGAATATTCAATGTTGTACTTATTCAAATTACTGAGGTGTATTGTGTCACAGAACTCTTATTTTTGCTATAATTGATGTGTTTCTTCTGCCCCCTAGTGGCAGTAGAAACAAACTAAACACCTTTTAAATTGACACTGTTAATCCGATAGCAAACAGTTGCTTACATACACAACTAGCAGATACAGAGCAACTTAAGCATTCATTTTGAAGCATACTTCTGGCCAGCTAACTTTGTTGGTCTGCTGTTTGGTGGTGGATAGGTTGTGTAGCTGGAGACCAAAGTGTATAAACTAGAACAGTAAAGTTAGGGGTTATAAAACCAAAACTGAGCTGAAATATGCTAATACACCTTGCAGAGTCAAGGGGAACTTAACCACACAAACATTTGCCAAACCAACCAGTCAGTTTTTAAGAATACTTAAAAGATAGGGATCTTTTCTTTAGACATTAGACATTTTCTGTCTAAAAACAACAGTCAGATGCCTGTATTTTAGCAGGCATGTTGGCTCCTTTCCATTTAGGTATCTCAGTAAGTTTTGCCACGTAGTCAGCGTGCATAACACCACTTTGCACACCTAAATGAATGCAGTCGTTATTGTTTTTTTAGAAATTACATATGTTTTTCCTGCTAAAACAAGTCTTAACTGTGAAAATGGTCTATTATGGCATTATCATTGATGTTTTGAACATTTTTTGACCTCAAAAAGTGAAGTGAAATGAGCAGCTTAATTTAAAACTCTTGTATAAACACTGCTATAAAAAAATACCAAACGCTTTTGTTGAAGATAGAGAAATAATTTATTGGATCGCATAGCAAACACACAAATGGGACAATGTGTCCCATACATCTCAGTAAAGTTAAAGAGCTTACACCATTCTGACATTTTACGTTCATCATTTAAATGGCATTTAAAAAATTCCATATTCAAGCATTAAACAGTTTGTAGAAGCCTTGTGCACAACTGTTTTTGTGAGTCTTGCATAGTGCTTCAGTCTGTGACCATATTGTGCTTTTGTCTGGTCTCTGGACTGGATCAGTCCCTTACCTAAATCAATCCATATAAACCTGAATTATACATCACCCACTTGCAATCTAAGGCACAATTTAGGTCACCTAATCTCCTACAAATAGTACCACCAATGTATTTCTAGATAATTCTCTATTTAGAGAGCTGTGTCCAGATACACAGTAGTTCCCTTCTTTCATTCCCGCATCGCAGCAGACTTCGTCCCATCTGAAAAGTGCCTGTGGACATCTATCCACATTGTGCCTCTGAGCAGCCCAGTTCTGTGGCTGTAGACCCTTCTGGGCCTACGGCTCAGTGGCTCCAGTCTATCTAAAGGTATTCAGGTCTTATTCTCAGTGGCACCCGCACTCCTCCACCACCATGTCCTCATGATGCCTCATGAGCATCTTCCCGTTCTCATAGTACAACATGGAGAGCGGTGCCAGGCGTGTTGGCACACAGGACACACAGGGCACCTTGTCTGGGTGGTGAAGTTTCAGCAGGCTCTGGAGAGAGAAAGAGGGGAGAAAAAAAGAATGATTAGAACACATCTCTTTAAATAGGAAACTAGTGTATTATTAGCTATATCCTGTAAATACTATAAAAGTAAAGAAGTTTGTGACAAAATTCAGTCTTACCTGCATGTATGCATGGTTGGTTGGGGTAAAGGTCTCATCTACTGGTGTAGGACAGCTCCCTTCACAGCGATAGGCGTTGTACCGTTTGGGATAGACAATCCACTCGCTCCAGCCAAGCTTCTCAAAGTCCACCCACATATCCACCTTCTTGCAGAGAGGACCCTTCTCCTCCTGTGTGGCCGTGCTGGCAGGAGCAGCTCCAGCCACTTTCTCTCTCTGCTGCTGGGTCTGGTGGTGCCTCTTGGCCCTGCGGCTCCTCGTCTCGGAACCGGAGCCAGCCGTCGCCCGCTCCCTGTCCAGGCTGACGTACTTTGAGTGCTCTGCTGTGCGAATGAGTGTTGGCGATCGCTGGCTGTCCAGGGACTGCCTCGAGAAGACCACCATCATGACTCGGTCAGCTATCGGGTGTTGGACTCCCTCCTGCTCCTGCTCTTCCTCCTCCTTCACCTCCTGCTCCTCTGCCCTCTGTGTGGAGTGTTCCTGCTGCAGCCAGCGACTGAGCATCTCCGTCATGTTGAACACCTTCCAGGAGGAAGTTGAGACCATCGCACTGGGATGAGCTCTCAGGCGGCCCAGGAAGTGTCTGTTCTCTGGGCAGTGCATGCCGGAGCAACGACCCCTGTGGGAGTGGTAGATGTCCACTAAGGCTCGGGAAGACTCTGTGAAGGAAGGTAGGCGGATGCGGAGTTCAGCCAGTTGGACGTTGTCGCTTGCAGACATGGAGGACAAGTCAAAGGTGATGGACCACCTCTTGCCAATCTGCTGGCAGCCTGAAAGAGATGAGAGGAAAGAAAATTGGTCAGCAATATGTATGAGTTGTAGAGGAGGTTAGCAAAAAATATTTTCCAGCAAAACTTATTTTCTCATGATATTTACAGAAGCAACAGTGAAATGACAGCTCTTACAAATGTCACAGCCCCCCCCCTCGCCCCGCCACACCCAACCCCACCCCACCCCAACCCTTTGATTAAAATACATTAATCAAAGTTTGATGAGAAAAATGATTAAATTAAGGTGGGTGAAACAAATCAACCTCCACATCTTGTAGTGTCAACGGAAACCTAAAGAACGTGTTTAACATTTTGCAAAAGGGATGTGCTGTGGTAAGGTGTATATATTTTTAATAATGTTTACATGATGCCATTTGTAATAGAGTGCTCCCCCATGTTTTAAATACAAAAACATATAGCCCGCATATGCACTGCATAATAGGGAAAAAAACTGCACAGCCATGCCATGACACCAAACTCCATTAAAAAAACAATAGATTTTTTTCCCCTGATGTTGAATACTCACTCTTAGCGACAAGGCTGATCACAGAGTCGGATTCGTGTAGAGCAGGGTTGTCGTCCATCTCGGCGTGGTGGCTCACGTTGGCAGGTGGGGTCATGGCCCGCTCATCGGTCAGCATGGTCCGGTAGAGCTGCATCATGTAGAGGGGCAACCCGGTGGCCCGATGCCGATGCACGGTGCGTCTGGGGCTGCTGCTCATCCCACGGAGCAGTGCGTCTGGGTGCATCCCAGGGAAGGGCTGCGCTGCGAGAGCCAGAGCCAAATCCACCAGAAGAAGAAGCGCAAAAGAGAAATCCACTGCTAGTTGCTTCATAATTGCCAGGTGTGGTGTTGTCTCTTCCAGAGGTAGATTCCGAATGCTCCAGGTAAGATGCTGAGACTGGGATTTATGACACACCTCTCTCCTGGCGTCCTTTGAAGAGATCTGTCAAGCCGCAGATGGTTGAAGGGCGTGTGTGATCCACGGGAGCACTCAAGGACTTTTTAATGTGACATGGTCGTGTATCGAAACCAATTTGCCTTTGCTGTGACAGAGGTGTGAAAACTGTAAAAGCCCACTGATTGTTATTGAATTGAAGGCTTTATTACAGATCCCTTTGATAAGACGCCGTGACAATAATATTAGTTAAGGAGATTACGAGCTGCACAACTGTGATTAATGGGGAAGCAACAATAGTTAATCAGAAATCTCTTTCTGTAGCACAGGTTGTGACCTGTTGGAGCCTGTTGCCAAGTTAAGGTCAATAATTGACACATCTTTAATGCAGGAAAAATAAGTCAATTGATTAATTTGTCACTTTTGAAAAGCCAAACTCTGGCATGATAGGTCTATTGCGCACGTGAGTTCTCTTTAATGTTTTGTAAGGCAAACTAAATATGAATACATAGAATTATCATAGATATTCAGCAATGTCAACACAAAATCTGTGTCGAAGTTTGACTCAAAGAATATATAGACCAGTAATATTAAAATCCTTTTTGAAACATGAGCTGGAAAACATTTAAACAGTTTTATAGTTTTAATAGGCTAAATAACATAAATAAATGATCAATACTACAATAATGCAACACTTTATTATGCTGAAAAAAGGAAATATGCAAAATGTCAGGTCATTTCTTAAAGAACTGAACATTTCTTTTTAACTTCTTTATACCGTACTTACTTACGTAACTTTAAAAAGGAAAAGACAACTCAGTAATGTCCTTCTGAGCCAGTGGCAACAACTTTATTCCTACACACGGTTATTTACAGATCTGCAAATCAATATGCTGGTTTGTTGAGTCGGTTGGGCATGAAAAGATTTCATGAAAAGATTTCATGCCCAACCAAGTCTCAAATCTGCCATGCTAATTAACGCAAGCATTAAAGAGACATTGCCGCCAGCTGATCGTTGCCTATTCCTAAGTCAAACTGCACACTTGACCTCAAAAGACAGAAGAAAGCTTTGATTCTTTTTGATGAGCATCTGAGTGAAAAGTATCATAAGAAAATGGGCCATTATGAAATTAGTTCTTTATTGTCAAAAGATCAAACAAGCATTTGTGTTAAACTATTTGGTGCACGTTTGGGGGTTTTGGGTGATTGGGGGAAAAAGTACACAGGACCTTAAGGTATAGCCTAACTTAAGTATTTTTCAAACTAGATCCTATTTCCCTATGTTTTTGTGTCTGTGTGACTAATTGACAACAATTCTTGAGATTGGTCCATTGTGCGCGCTGCAGTGGGCAGCAGCGAGGCAGGGCTGCGCCTGGCTTAATCTTTGCGGGGCAGTTGGGTCCGGTGTCCACTAAAATATTTGTTTTTGCCACTAGCAGGCTTAGATTTTTTATTATGAGTTTTGTATTCCTGCATTTTGTTACTTTTTGTTATAGTGTGACTTTTAACCATTTAAAACACCAACATCACACAATAACACAGACAAACTAACTGACCAAAGGTAAATTAATAGCCTAATTAATAGCCCTAGGTAAATAATTAGCCTACTGTTTGGTGGCTTTGAGGAGATCTAAATATGCTAGTGACTATTTCTGGTTATGATCTTACTCTTTAAAAAAAAGTCTATCTCTGAAGGGATCCTTTCCAAGCACTTTAGTGTACATACTTTGACAGGGCGCAATTGCCCACAAGGATTACATTGTAGTCCTGTTAAATAGTAGGCCTATATAGTATACTATGTTGTTCCAATTAGTCACACCAACACAAAAAATGGGAAAATAAGGTCCAGATTGAAAAATACCGACCTTCCCTTTAATTTAAAAAAGGAAATTATCATATCACTCAATGACTATTGTGAATGAATAAAACAAAGCAGTGCGCAGGCGCGGCCTAATCAATGTAAGAGGTGATGCTGTCAAATAATAAACACGAGAGCCCATGAATCATCAACTCTCAAAAGCGTTACTGCTTCAGAGAAATGAGAGGTGTGTGGGGAGCGTTCCTCAAACGTGACCTATAAGAAAATTAATTTATCTTGTTTCATTAGCCAAATATTTTAATATGCATGGCTAGGAAAGCTGGGAAGATAACTAAATAAACAAACAAATACGTATATTTGCCCATTGTAAAACCACACCCAGTGACCTGATGAAATACACAACAGATTTTATATTATGTTTGGTACCGGCAGCTAAATGGCCAGTCTGTGATCGCACGCGCACCTGCAGCGGTGGAAGCTGATAAAAGCACTTCCTCCCAGAAACGGTTTTTGTCCCGATGAGGTGCGCGGGCCAATATGGATTTGCGCCAGGTCATTTGTTCGATTATTGTGGCATGTCTGAGAATTTCCCGAGGTAAAATTGCGTATATATGTTTTTTTAAGGCATGTGTATGACTTAATTTGAGTGAGTATTCATCAAATAACACGCAGGAACGTTTTGACACTTTCTTTAAATCTAAACATGAACGAGGCAAGATGGCGTTCTTTCACGGACTCCACGAGTTCAGGGTTACACGCGTTATTGAACTTTGTCTGTTTTAACTGCTGTTTCAGTAATTAAAACAAAACATTTGTATATGACGGTACACTAATTAAACGGCATTATTTTACATGGGGTCAAAGGCAAATAAGTAGGCCTACCTCTTAACTTTTCTTCCTATTCCTTTGACATGTGCAAATGTCACACCAGTCAGTTTGCCCTTTTGAGGCCTAGTGTGACCTCTCTGGTCTTTCTTATCCATGATGGTTTTTCTTTTCTGCTAATTTGGTTGACTAATTAGTACTTTATGACTTTAATTTTTTTTTTGGTCAAGAAGTAATTGCTGGTGAAATAAATGGCTGCCCATTTAACAATTCAGTTTGAATTTAGATGAATTTGTTGTGGTTTTGAAAATTCAGAACCATCTACACTTTTGTGTTTGTTTTTTAAACCTACACTGTCACACACCTGACCCTTGCTCAAGAGCTTGGTCAGCAGGATTTGTCATGGTTAGCTGCTATTGTCCAAATGAAACGTCAGGTTGTGGCCGCTCGACAACTTGCATCTGTAGTTATAGAATATTGCTTGGCTCTAAGTTACTTTGTAGCTACAGCTCACCATGAAAGCAAATCTGGCTGAGAATTTGTAGTGTTTGAAACCCTTTTCTGTTCTGTTGCTTTTCTGTGCCTCAGCACTTTAGAAAGGTGCCACACAGCTCCTTAAACCTTACAGCAGGTACAGTTTCAATGCCAGTTAAACTAATCTGCAGAAATCAACTTCTTTTGATCTATAAGGGGACAAATTCTACAATTCATCCAGTCTGTGACTTTGTCTCTCTCTGTATGTTTGTAGGTCAGATGTTGGGATGCCATCAGGGCCAGTGGCAGTGTGATGATGGAAAATGTATTCCTGTTGTCTGGAGATGTGATGGAGATGGAGACTGTCTGGATGGATCTGATGAAATGGATTGCAATGGTCTGCATACTCCCTGTCCCTATGCAAAATAAGTGCACTAATACGTTGTCAGGAAGACTTAAGATCACTTTTTTCCATTCACCATAGTTTGTGTTCTTGTGGGTCTGAAATGAAATATTACACGCTGAACCACATTTAAAGGTTCAGCGTGTAATATTTCTGAGGATCTGCTGACAGAAATGTAATGTAAGATCCATAACTATGTCTTCAGTGGTGTATAAAGACCTTACTGTTACCTTACTCTGCTGCCTCAGAAGAGACATCTTTTGTGCTGTTTCAGACACTGTAGCTGTCCTGCGCTCTTTGAAAGGGTAAGGGACAATGGTAGACTGGGCAGTTAGATGCCACTAAATCTTACATACCGAACCTTTAACAAGACATTTTAATAGAATTGGCAGCAATTATAGCAGTTTTATGTGTATTGTTTATTTGTGTGTTTTGTGTTTTTTTGTTTTTTTTAAATACTTCACAATCATGACCAAAAGGCCCAAAGTCGTACAAGATGGCGGACGCCTTTCCCCAGCTGTTGATTTGAGTCAAGTTTACCGCTGCCCATGTTAACATAAGATTCTAAGGATTGTGAAGTTGCTAGTGGTGTTTGGTTGTGTTGAGTTAAAGGTCAATCAGGGAAAGGGAAGGCTACTTTACTGCAAATAAAATTTGTTTTGTGGACCGTATGACCATAAATATAGGTAGAATGAAAGAAAAAGGGAAATGTAAACCCTTTTAATGCGTTGAGATTCAATATATGAGTTCGTGTTTTCTTCCCTCCAGCACTCCCAGGCTCTCCTGAATGCCCGCCGGGTCAGTTTCCCTGTGTGGACTCTGTCGGCTGTTTTGACGCGTCTGCTCGCTGTGACGGGCGAAACCAGTGTCCCACAGGCTTTGATGAGGAGAACTGTACAGCTACTAAGGGTTGTTTGGAGTCTGACTGGACCTGTAGAAACCACATCTGCATCCCCAAAGAGCTGCGCTGCAACGGACTGAATGACTGCCTGGATAACTCTGACGAAGAGGGCTGTGGTGAGAAATTTGTGCCACAGGAAACTGAATGTCAGTCAGTGGAACTGCATGGCACTAATAGAGTGAAGCTTACTTAAAGGGTTCGATAAAAATTACAAAAACTTGCATCTTTATCTCTCGTCATCTACTGTTGCATTGGCATGGTATCTTTTTGTTTTCATGTATCCAATCTTTGAGATTTCTTTAGGTCCAGCCTTGTCTTTTACAACTAATTTAAGAAAAACACAACAATTTAAAAATACCTAAAAACAAATTAAAGACTCAAATTTTTAGACTCAAAACAGTTTTTGCACAGATCTGCATACACAAAATGTTGTGTTTTGTTATCTTGGTAAAGTAATTCTTTTTATTAATCAATTGGTACAGTCATTTTAACAGTAAGTAGAGCTGGGCTGTTTTGATAAAATTGGTGTCGTGATAATGTGCAAGTCTTTTTTTTGCAGTAGTAATTTTTTATTTGTTTTTTTTATGGGTTGGTTTTTACCCCTGGTCCAGGGTTTTTTTTTGTTTTTTTTTCAATTGGAATGACTAATAACACTTTATCACTATGATCTGTATATAACAAATATTCACACTGACTTTTATTCCTTAAAATCATGTCATTTTATTTTTTTAAATACAGGTATTAATGTGATTACTCCAATATTGTCCCATTTAATATTCAGTCCAACATGAACAGGAGTTGATGAAAAACATGTGTTAAGGGTCTCTGAGTTGATGTCAAAAGATGGAAGACAAAAGGTATGAGAAACTGTTGAAGTGCTGCGTGTCTCTTACAGGTCAGTGTGGTAAAGGCGGCATGCGCTGTCCTGAGGGTACGTGTCTGTCTGCTGAAGAGAGGTGTGATGGGCAGTTTCACTGCTCAGATGGCAGCGATGAGCCCATAACATGCGGTAGGTTTATGAACTGCAATGAAGGAAAATGCTGCAACACACTGCCTGATGCTGCTGCTGTTTATCCACCTCAAGATAATGTCTGACTTGTTTCTGGTGCGTGTATCGCTGAGCCATGTTGCACCTCCTGCAGGTCGTATTTGCTCTGTGAAAAACGGTGGCTGTAGCCATGTGTGTGTTGATGAAGCTTGGGGAGCTCTGTGTGCCTGTCCTGTTGGATATAAGCTCTCCTCCAATGGAGCAGTCTGCAAAGGTGTGTGGAGCATGAAAATGACATTATTCAGTTTTATTTAGGGGTAATTGATTTTGCTGCAAGAACACTAACAATGCCTGCTCCCTACTAAAGTGTAGCAGTCTGAAATAGCCCTGCCCTTTGCAGTACCCTACTGGGCCCCTTACCACCTCTTCTGTTAGCAAACTGAAAAGATTAAAGAGCATGTAGAGTTTTCAGAAAAAGGCTGCATAATTAGCTGTTTCAAAATATTGGGCAATCTGTTATTGAGGCACAGCTTATGTTTATGCAGCTAAAATCTACTCTCTCCTCAGACTTGGATGAATGTGCTCCACCCTTTGCTCCCTGTATGCATCACTGCATTAACACAGTCGGATCCTACTATTGCCACTGCAGAAAAGGCTTCAAACTGAATGGAAGCTCTACATGTCTGGCTGCAGGTAATGAGGCCGTGTTTTTAAGTTACACATAATGAACATACACATTTCATGGCCCTTCTACCCAGTTGATTTTTACCAGCTTAGCCCTTATCTTGAGCCAGGAAAACGGAGTACTACAAGACAGGATATTTTGACACACTTGTGAGTACCAACCTATTGTGTTAAGTGTTAGTGAGCTAGTCATCAGCTACATTGAATGATGTGAACCTAATCTGGATTTAGATTCATCCTCTGAAAAGATCAAACCCAACAGCAAACATCATAAAGGGCACTTGGACAAAAGAGAAATGACATGTTAATTGGCTTCTTTAATGTGGCAGCGCTAATGTCTAAAGCAAGAAAAGTTTTTAAAAAGATCAAAGATGGAACTTGAAATACAAACAGTAGAGCAGGTTACATCCAGAAAGAAATTGTTACCTGAAATGTAAATAAAAGGATGATGTAATTGGCAAATATTAAATGAGATGCTGTTGAGTGTTGCATAGGCATCCATATTTTTTCTGGTCAAATAGTCAATTTTTGTTTTGTTGTAGCGAAAAATGTCTTAACTTGTGACTTTCTACATTTGGAGTGAAATGTAAGGTAATTCATCATGTTGGTAAGAGGGATGGACAGAAAATCAAACTTACTCCCGTCCAAAGATTCACACTAACGTCACCCTTCTTTCTGAATCTGACTGTGTCCAGGTAATGCCACCAAATTACTAATGGTACAGAGGAACTCTATCGGGCTGTTAAATGTGAAGTCTCAGCAGTTTGAAGTGATCCAGACTCCAGTGTCTGACCCAGTGGCCTTGACTTTTGACGTTGCTCATGGCTGGTACTACTGGGCTGACAACCAGGGCAGCATTTACAAAAGTGATGGACAGCACAGCTGGACAATCTTTTCTGGTTAGTTGACGGAGAGTGTTTCCCAACCTGAGTCACCAGTTCAACCATATATTTATTTTATTTTGTTTGAACAACTTCAAAAGTTATCTGAAAGTCCTGAAACACCTAAACACATCCAGTTTTTCCAGTAGAAAGGATTAGAGGAAAATCCAAAAAAAAAAACCGGAAGTATGTTTTGGTATTTTCATGTCATAACAATGAAGTGTTTGTTAGTTAAATTAACAAAGTGTAGCTATAAGAGATTCTGTAAATTAGATGCAACAAAAATGGTTAAATCTGACATGTACAGTACGTAGTTCACTTTCCAATGTTACACCAGTGCCATCAAACATATTTTTAAACAGGATATCTTTTTCACAAACATTAAAAGCATCAGACTTTGTGAATCATTACAGAATCCATTTGGCCCACATTCAAATTTAATGCAGAAGAAAACATTTGTAAACAAATGTTTTTTGTCTTTTTTAAAGGGGATACTGGAATAAAGGGTCTGGCTTGTGATTGGCTAAATGGAAACCTGTTCTGGACAAATCAGAAGACGGAGTCAATCTACATGCAGGCAGCTGATGGGAAAAGTTACACTACTCTGCTGAGCAAAAACATCAACCCATCGGAGTTGGTGCTTGTACCTATGGAGAGGTATGCTGGACTTTATTCTGTCTGCTACATTTAAATGGGTTTAAGGTAACGCAATTTAAAATATTTTTAATGCTTTTAAATGACAATCCTGGTCTCAGTGAATAGTAAAGCTGTCTTTCAAAGATAAGTTAGTATGTATAAAGTGTATGGAACCTAGAAAATGTAGCACATTTTTAGTAGTATTGCAATGAGGTGTTCGCTAATGTGCCCAAAGAGATGGTGATACGCTGGGTAGCGCTCATTAAAATTCTCCGCCCTCTGCTTCCCAGCTTGATGTTCTGGATCAACGCCGGCCACGGTGAGAAGGTGACGATAGAGAAGTCATGGATGGATGGGTCAGAAAGAAGCACTCTGACTGCACTCACTGCTCAGTCCGCCCACAGCCTCACTGCTGACGTGGCTGCCAGGAGGCTGTACTGGATCAGCAACTTCAAGAAGGTGAGTTGAGGAAAGTAATGCACGGTAGAACTTGACAGTACATGCATACGCATTGGACCATGCATTGCAGTTAATTATGATCTTGTACAGAATTATAGTGCATAATGGACCATTTTTCTCAGCAGACATTTTGATTTGTAGTAGGAAAAACACAGGTGTTACTAGTAACATTAACAATGGCTTGGTTGTTGGTTCTGTGTTACAATAAGGCACAGCAGTGAGTAAGTGAGCCAGCATTCACAATGCCAGGTCTCAGAAATTAAAGTGGCTAAATGGAATACATTTTTCATTCTTTGATCTGTCAATGAAATGCACAATTAATGTGTAGGAACGTGTTTGAAGGACAATGAGAAATGTGTATTAAAGAAATGTCACTGACAGCAAAACACTTCAGATTAACTGCATTTAGAAAACCGTAGTGAGTAGCAGAACTGTGATTTGAGGTTGAATTAATCAAATACGTTCAGTAAAAACTCAGACAAAAAAATAACCAAAAATAATTTAATTGAAACATTAATTAGATGCTAAACTAATTTAAAAGAAATGGTCTTCCACTACTGAGAAGATTCAATCTAGCTGCAGTATATTACTACAGTAGTTATTTAACCTAGGCCATTTACCAAATTTCAAACATGTCATTGTAGACATTCTTTTTTTTTACACTCAATAAAACTCTATTTTGATTCTTTTGAGACATAAGTACATGATTAAATATTTCTTTACACTTTTTGGCCTTCTGGCTGTGTGGAATTGTATTTTTCTCAACATGAGACAAAATTTACATTTATTCATTTTAGCTGACTCTCTTATCCAAAGTGACTTACAATTTCTATATGTCAGACGTTGCACGGCGCGAAAAATACATTGTCATCAAAATTTTGGGGGCCGTTGGGAGTCTTGGGCTCTGTATTTCATAAATCATGTCTCCGTTTTAATTTTACAATATAGGGTGGAAAAATAACTTAGCTGGCATGATAAGGGAAGATAATAACATAAACTAACCTGTTTATCCTATATACAGTGAAAATTCATTCAAAACTCATTTTGTTCAGACTATAGAGACTGTGAAGGTGGATGGGACTGGCCGTTACTCCTACACAGGACTGTTCAACAAGAGACCGGCTCTCGGCCTGGCTGTGTTTGAAAGTTCGTTCTACTGGGTGGATGACAAAGGACTGTGGCAGCTTCCACAAAACCAACCAAACCAGAAGAAATTTATCTGGAAAGCCGCGTTGCCAATATTATCTGTTTACCATGAGCTACAGCAGCCTCAAGGTACGTATTCAAACAGTAGATTTACTGGGATTGCAACGTACTTGTTAATTACAATATTTCTTCTTCTGAGGTTTTTTTTATGAAATACCACTTTACAATGAAGTGTACATTGTCTTTTGAGGAGTATTTACAATCATTAAAAAAAAAGAGATTTGCTGCAGAAAATAAATGTATTTGTATATTTTGAAGTACATCTATATAGTTTTTTTTTTTTCCACACCTAAATGTCTCCTCTTGTTGTCATCAATCAGGTTCTTCTGCGTGTGTAACAGCTTCATGTCACCTCTGCCTGCTAACTAAAGGCAACCCTGTGGGATTCACCTGTGCTTGTCCAAACTCCAAAGTACTGTTGCCTGATGGGATGTGTGAATGTAGGTTTACCGTAACTTTTTGCCTGTGTTACAAATGCCTTATTTTCCTATTTTGATAGAAGGCAAGTAGCATAAATAGTGTCTGGTCCTGCTGAAATGTTTTGTTTCCTTAAATATGGGTCCAAATTGATACAGTGAGAAGATCTGATCTTGCTAAGGCAAATTCCCTTTTCATGGACTATAAGAAAAAAATTTTTTGGTTCTAAAATCTTTGTGTGTAAAAACCTTGTTTGTAAAAAATATGTCCTGTAATATTTTGTTGTCAGTGTCTCTTGCCATTATGTGGTAAACATTAATTTTCTCTAGTCCTTTTATAACTCTAAGCATGAAGGCATCATTAACTAATTAACATTAAGCTGAGTCAGTGAACTCTTAAGTCCCTTCTTAAAACATACTTTTATAGGAGAGCCTTTCCCGATCTTATTTGACTTTATTTTATCCCTTTTATTTTATTGTATTTTACAAATTTTATATAAATTTTTCATGCTCTTATCTTGTTTTTTTTGTATTATTCTTTACACTTGTTAAAGCACTTTGTAACTTGTTTTTGAAAAGTGCTCTACAAATAAGGATTATTATAATCTTTTTCTCTCCCACAGATCCAAGGTTTATATATGCTACCATTACCAACATCAACCTGTTGGAGTTTAGAGACAGAGAGTCCACCAAAGTCCAGCTGTTTAGCACTGACGATGGAATCCTGTCATTTGATCTAGACTGGTACAGAGACTGGCTATACTGGGCTAACCAAACTGGCCATATCCAACGCACCAGTCTAACCCAGGCCTTGACTGAGGTGGTCCCAACACCTTTGCCAGGTTAATACTTTTAAGTTTGCCTTGACTTGTATAGAAAGGGGTAACCTATATAGTAACCGTTGCGGGAACTTTAGAAAGCAATAGTTTTAGTGAAAGGAAATAACAATATGCAAATAGATGAATCGGTTAATTTATAAAACAAAAATACCACTTTTTTTTTTTTTAGGTCCTTCTTAAATTTGGGGATTTCTGTTATTCTATTGTAAATTTAATATTTTGACTTTTGTTTGGACAAAACAAGTAATTTGAAGACAACTGTGGGTTCTTTTGATGAGCATTTTTCTCCATTCCACGTTCTCACCATGTGTAATTATTAATAAATTACTTGTCAATGAAATTTACAGTTGTTCGTTTAGTAGAAGAATAAGCCATAAACAACTGTCTACTTGGTCACATAACACTTTCTGTGGTCCTTCTTTTGTTTTTGTAGCTTGTCTGATAAAAGTAGACCAGAGTGGAGGGAACCTTTATTGGGTGTCATGTGACCAAAACCGCATCGGCACCATCACAGCCTCCAGTCAATACCCACAGCAGCTGTACCAAACAACAAATAAGATTCAAGACCTGTATCTGGACTGGCTGAGGGGTAGCATCCTGTGGCTGGAGGGAGAACGCATCCTCACCATGGGCATGATGGGAGGCAAAAGCAAAGAGCTGCTGCACCTTGCAGCAGGAGTCGGGGGGAACATCACCTTCGACCTCAGGGCTAATAGCCTTCTCTGGAACTCAAAAGGGGCAGGTCTGTCACTTCTGTAGATCAGGGTGATAAAATGTTGTTTCTTTTGCTCGAATGTCTCACCAGTCAGTGATTGATCATGTGTTTTGTTTTTTTATACTGTTGAAATTTCATCCACACAAAAATGGTCAAATGATTAAGTTTTTTTCAGTGATCCAGCAGCAATAAGAGCTTGTGTGTTCACACTCTTTAATTCAGTTCTGGTCACTCCAGGGGCTGGGCAGTTTATCATTGTTACGTTGCTCCCACAATCAAAAACTTTGAATCAGGTGATGATGAATGGTGTATGAGATTTATTTCCTGACGTATACAAACTCTTTGAGATGAAAATTTTAATATAAATTAATAATTGCAGACCATATTTCCACAGCACAGACCTGTTGAATGAGTGTCTCTTGTTCTTCTTTTATGATTTTTATTTAACAGGTTTGTCAACAATGAGTTTGCTGCATGGGAGAAGCCACCAAGCTGGTCGAAGATGGAACATTTCGGGCTCAATCATCGCTGCCTTTGAGCCCTTCCTGTTGTCCCTTTCTGATGATGTCATCACTCTGTGGGACAGGCGTGATGGGAGCTCCATTCAGGATGTAGCTGTAAAAGATCATGTGTTCAGTGTGATCGCAGCACTCGGTGACATCCGTACAGGTCAGACTCAGTTTTAATCTATTACAGAGGAAATGAACTTGTTAACACAGATACATGCTGTTACTTTTATTTTTTTCAACATTGTGCTTTTTATTTACTGTTGTTTCTTACCTGGGTTGATGTTTCTGATTGTGGTGCTTAGTCTTGCTCTCAATCCCTGGTGGCCATAATGGCTCGTGTTAGCTGCACAGTTAGTCCTCTTTTTATTCCGAACGTATAAATATGATGCAAGAGTTTTTAAAAGCACGTGGAAAAGCTTCTTGGATTCAGTAAAATGTGGATCATTATTAGCCAGTAGTGAGATGTTGTAGAGGATTTATGTGAAAACCACTGATTTTTACGCTGACACTCAAGTTTCTCAATGCCATTATTAAAACTTTCCATAGTGCCCAGTACTCTAGTCTGCAATGAACCGTCCCTGCTGTGCCGACACACATCCATCTGCCTCTCACAAGCCCAGCTGTGTGATGGGAAAAAGGACTGCCCTGATGGAGATGATGAGGATTTTTGTGTTACCATGTGTCCATCTAAAGGTAAAGTACCACAAATGGACATTTGATGGAATGGGAAGCTCTAAAATCGTGTGGGGGATTAAACCTATTGGGCGCTGACTTGACTGATAAACTTGACTTCCCCAGCTTTGTAATCTTTTCTCTTCTGCGTTAATTTCCAATCTTAGAGGATTTCAAGTGCAAGGACCGTAGGAATTGTGTGTCCAGGAATCTCGTTTGTGATGGCCGTTCTCATTGTCGTGATGGCTCAGATGAGGCCGACTGTCCGACCGTAGCTTCTCCTGCAGCTCGCGCAAACGTCTTGAAGTGCCGCATGGGCTCCAAGCCATGTAATGACGGCACAGAGTGTGTTTTATACAGCCACCTGTGCGATGGGGACAAGGACTGTAGGGATGGATCTGATGAACAGGGATGTGGTGAGTTTCCTAAAACATAATGTCGCTTGCAGCTACAGCAGGGATTACTGATGCAATATATTTTTGTTCTAATGATAAAAGAAATTCTTCAGGTAGGTTTGTGACTATAAAAGCAAAACTGAAATTGTGGTCTTTGGGCAAACAGACTGTCTGAAGGGCTGGGACAGTGCCATTGGCCCATTAGCTTCATTTTCTCACCCAAGCACAAAAAATCGGAGTGCTTCTTGACTGTGGTTTTAAGTTTGACAAGCAGGTCAGTGCAGTCGTGAAAAGCAGCTTTTATCATTTAAGACTACTGAGTAAAATCAAGCCCCATCTCCTTAAGAAAGACCTGGAGAGAGCAGTCCATGCCTTTATGACATTGCAGCTAGACTACTGTAATTCGCTGTACTGCGGACTTGAACGGCGCTCTCTTCGCCATCTACAGGGGGTACAAAATGTGGCTGCCCGGTTTCTGACAGGAAAAAGAAAAAGGGAGCACATCACCCCCGTGCTGTCCTCATTACACTGGCTACCTGTATCTTTTAGAGTGCATTTTAAGATTTTATTAATAGTTTTTAAATGTTTGACTGATACTGCCCCACCTTACCTTTCTGACATGCTGTACCATTATGCTCCTGCCAGAGCACTAAGGTCAGCAGACCAGCTCCTTTTGAGTGTCCCTAAAAGCAGGCTCACCACCCGAGGCGACAGAGCCTTTTCAGTGGCAGGACCACGGCTGTGGAATAGCCTACCCCTTCATGTTAGATCTGCACAATCTGTAGATCAATTTAAAAGCAGGCTAAAAACACACCTGTTATCTTTTAGCTTTCAACACAGAATAAGCAGGTTACATTAGCTGTTCCACTATTTTAATGTTCTATATTACTATTGTATTATTATCTTGTTGTTTTATTCTGATTAATTGATTCCATATGTACAGCACTTTGGTCAGCAGAAGTTGTTTTAAATGTGCTTTATAAATAAAATTGACTGTGACTGTCATATTTTACAAATGTATGTATCCTATTTGGTTAAACTTTTACTATGTTATTACTGTATCTACAAGATGCCACAGAACAGACCACCACTCCAACAAAACCAAATATTGATGCATCAATCAAAATGCTACCTGCTCCAACTGTTCCGGCCTGCAGCAGCCCCTCTGTGCTCTGTCCCCGTTCTTCTGCTCACCTCTGCATTTCTCCGAGCCAGTTTTGCAACGGGCGTAATGACTGTCCCGATGGCTTTGATGAGCAGAATTGTGTGAAAATGGATGAATGGATCTGTCCCTTGAAAAGTAAGCCTTTAATGCAGAGTTTGTGTTCTCTTAATTCCCAATGTTGTGCTTTTTTTTTTTTTTCTTTAAATTTTGAAAATGAATCATGCTCAGCAGATTGGTTCAAAGCTCCATTTGTTTTCCGTAATGTTTGTCTAGGTGACTTCCGCTGCAAGGACCAACGGAGCTGCGTCTCCAGCAGTCTGCTTTGTGACGGCCGCTCTCACTGCCTCGATGGCTCAGATGAGGTCGGCTGTCTGAGCGCAACTCCCCCGCAGCTCAGGGAAACGTCTTGAAGTGCCGCATGGGCTCCAGATTGTGTCAAGATGGCACTGAATGCGTTCTCTATAGTCACGTTTGTGATGGAGAGAGAGACTGCCGGGATGGATCAGACGAAGAAGAATGTAGTGAGTATTCATTCCAGGTTTTCTTCTACAGTGTTAATAGATGTAAAGGAACTTATCCAACTAATTCTTGGTGTAATGTTTGTAATGCTGCCGATACCATGCTTGCAGAAAATCTCCACCTAAATGAATCTCCTGCACCCGTCGAGCCATTTATTCAGCCTCCCACCAAGCCACCCTGCACCAGCCCTTCAATTCTGTGTCCAGATTCTTCTTTATGCATCAACCCAAAACAGCTTTGTGATGGAAGAAAGGACTGCCCTGATGGATCTGATGAGAGCTGTATAAAAAGATGCCCTAACAAGAGTAAGTCACAAAGTTAATTTGGTTCTTTTGAAAATGCGTTCCCAATTCCCATTTCCCATTCCCTCTCTGTAGATGACTTCCGCTGCAAGGACCGACAGAGCTGCGTCTCCAGCAGTCTGGTTTGTGACGGCCGCTCTCACTGCCTCGATGGCTCGGATGAGGTCGGCTGTCCGAGCGCAACTCCCCCTGCAGCTCAGGCAAACGTCTTGAAGTGCCGCATGGGCTCCAAGCCATGTAATGACGGCACAGAGTGTGTTTTATACAGCCACGTTTGTGATGGGGACAAGGACTGTAGGGATGGATCTGATGAACAGGGATGTGGTGAGTTTCCTAAAACATAATGTCGCTTGCAGCTACAGCAGGGATTACTGATATAATTTCTTTCTAATGATGAAAGAAACTCTTCCAGGTAGGCTTGTGACTATGTAATATTATATTTTTACAAATGTATCCTATTTGGTTAAACTTTTACTATGTTATTACTGTATCTACAAGATGCCACAGAACAGACCACCACTCCAACAAAACCAAATATTGATGCATCAATCAAAATGCTACCTGCTCCAACTGTTCCGGCCTGCAGCAGCCCCTCTGTGCTCTGTCCCCGTTCTTCTGCTCACCTCTGCATTTCTCCGAGCCAGTTTTGCAACGGGCGTAATGACTGTCCCGATGGCTTTGATGAGCAGAATTGTGTGAAAATGGATGAATGGATCTGTCCCTTGAAAAGTAAGCCTTTAATGCAGAGTTTGTGTTCTCTTAATTCCCAATGTTGTGCTTTTTTTTTTTTTTTTTTTTCTTCTTAAAATTTTGAAAATGAATCATGCTCAGCAGATTGGTTCAAAGCTCCATTTGTTTTCCGTAATGTTTGTCTAGGTGACTTCCGCTGCAAGGACCAACGGAGCTGCGTCTCCAGCAGTCTGGTTTGTGACGGCCGCTCTCACTGCCTCGATGGCTCGGATGAGGTCGGCTGTCTGAGCGCAACTCCCCCCGCAGCTCAGGGAAACGTCTTGAAGTGCCGCATGGGCTCCAGATTGTGTCAAGATGGCACTGAATGCGTTCTCTATAGTCACGTTTGTGATGGAGAGAGAGACTGCCGGGATGGATCAGACGAAGAAGAATGTAGTGAGTATTCATTCCAAGTGGTTGTGGGTTTTTTTTGTTTGTTTGTTTGTTTGTTTTGGGTTTTTTAAAAATAGCGTTGAAGGTGGCTGTGGCTCAGGAGGTAGTGCGGATTGCCTGTAAATCGAAGGATCTGTGGTGCAATCCCCGGCTCCTCAAATCTGCATGTCGAGGTGTCCTCAGGCAAGATATAGAACCCCGAATTGCCTCTTGTGGCTGTTCCACCAGTGGATGAATATGTGTAAATGGTGAATGCGATGCAGTGCAACAGCACTTTGAGGGGTCTCAAAGACTGAAAGACGCTATACAAATACAGAGCATTTACAATTAACAAATGTAAAGGAACTTATCCAACTAATTCTTGGTGTAATGTTTGTAATGCTGCCGATACATGCTTGCAGAAAATCTCCACTTAAATGAATCTCCTGCACCCGTCGAGCCATTTATTCAGCCTCCCACCAAGCCACCCTGCACCAGCCCTTCAATTCTGTGTCCAGATTCTTCTTTATGCATCAACCCAAAACAGCTTTGTGATGGAAGAAAGGACTGCCCTGATGGATCTGATGAGAGCTGTATAAAAAGATGCCCTAACAAGAGTAAGTCACAAAGTTAATAGATTTGATTCTTTTGAAAATGCATTCCCAACCAACGTGTCAATGTGGACCAGTGGCAGAATGAATTCCACTCATGTCTCTGACAATTCTGTTACTCTCTGTAGATGACTTCCTCTGCAAGGACCGACGGAGCTGCGTCTCCAGCAGTCTGCTTTGTGACGGCCGCTCTCACTGCCTCGATGGCTCAGATGAGGTCGGCTGTCTGAGCGCAACTCCCCCCGCAGCTCAGGCAAACGTCTTGAAGTGCCGCATGGGCTCCAGATTGTGTCAAGATGGCACTGAATGCGTTCTCTATAGTCACGTTTGTGATGGAGAGAGAGACTGCCGGGATGGATCAGACGAAGAAGAATGTAGTGAGTATTCATTCCAGGTTTTCTTCTACAGTGTTAATAGATGTAAAGGAACTTATCCAACTAATTCTTGGTGTAATGTTTGTAATGCTGCCGATACCATGCTTGCAGAAAATCTCCACCTAAATGAATCTCCTGCACCCGTCGAGCCATTTATTCAGCCTCCCACCAAGCCACCCTGCACCAGCCCTTCAATTCTGTGTCCAGATTCTTCTTTATGCATCAACCCAAAACAGCTTTGTGATGGAAGAAAGGACTGCCCTGATGGATCTGATGAGAGCTGTATAAAAAGATGCCCTAACAAGAGTAAGTCACAAAGTTAATTTGGTTCTTTTGAAAATGCGTTCCCAATTCCCATTTCCCATTCCCTCTCTGTAGATGACTTCCGCTGCAAGGACCGACAGAGCTGCGTCTCCAGCAGTCTGGTTTGTGACGGCCGCTCTCACTGCCTCGATGGCTCGGATGAGGTCGGCTGTCCGAGCGCAACTCCCCCTGCAGCTCAGGCAAACGTCTTGAAGTGCCGCATGGGCTCCAAGCCATGTAATGACGGCACAGAGTGTGTTTTATACAGCCACGTTTGTGATGGAGAGAATGACTGTATGGATGGATCTGATGAACAGGGATGCACAGAAACCTGCAAACAAGGTCGTATCACTGTCAATGTTTGATTAAATCTGAAAACTTGTTCAACCGGGACATTAGCAATTTTATTTTAATCCTTTATATAGGCAATTATATTTTTTTGCTGTGCCCTTTACAATGAGGAAAATCAATAAAATACTAGGACACAAGAAGAAATTAAACTTGAACAGTAGACTGAAACTATTTAACAATAGTTACTGTGAATGAGCACTTTAAAGATTAGCTGTAATTCTGTTTGAATCAAATAGTCATACCCTTTATTTATGCCCCACCACAGGTGAGTTTCAGTGCTCCCACGGGAAGATGTGCATACCTGAGGCACAGGTGTGTGATGGGAAGTCACAGTGTCGGGACCAGTCTGATGAAATGGACTGCAGGGAACGAACCAAGAGCTGTGAGCATCTCTGTGCCGACGGCAAACGCTGCATCCCAAAGAAATTCCTGTGCGATGGAGAACGAGACTGCGTGGATGGCACAGATGAGCTGGGCTGCCGTAAGTCTTCAGATCCAGATTTCTGGGATTCATTCACTGGTGATATTCCTACCACCAACAAGAGTTTGAAAACTGTATGTGTGGATATAAACACAGCAATGGAAATGATGAATGAACATAATGGAATAAATTGAGTTCAAACAAGTTATCACCTTTTACATGGGCATGTTCCTTCAGCCCACAGTCCTGCCAGTGAGGGCTACAAATATTGCGTTTAGCACTTCGTTTTCTCCTTTCCAGACCCTGTTACTGCTGCAACAACGGCATCTCCTGTACCTGCTTCGGCATCGGCGTGCATCACTCCTTCAGTTCTCTGTCCAGGTTCATCGCAGTGTCTCTCTCAAAATCAGCTGTGTGATGGACAAAGAGACTGCCCTGATGGATTTGATGAAAACAACTGTTTGATCCAGTGTATAAACCCAGGTATGTCCAATTCCAGTAATCATTGCAAGGCAATTGTTTTGGTATCCGGTGATAGCATGGACTCGCTGTGGGAGATTTTCCAAGATAAAGTGGAGGTGCTGTACTTTGAATACTCTGCTCTATAGGCTTCTTTGAAATTATGTGTAAAATATTTCAGTTGCTATTTTTGCAGAACCTTCACTACTGTATCAACTCGTCCTTGTTTTCTTGCACATCAGATGACTTCTTGTGCCGCGACCGGCGGGCGTGCGTTCCAAGGATGGAAGTGTGTGACGGTCGTGCCCACTGTCCCGACGGCTCAGATGAGAAGCAGTGTCAATCAGCAGATCCTACTTCTCCATGTAAGCCAACAAGAGAAATGCGATCCAGCAATAACATAGCATCCACCTAGCTACACCTTGCCAAACACTTAGAATGCCATAGCAACCAGGTAACAAACTTCCCAAACACGGGTAAACTATCCATCACCACCCTAGCAGCCGTCATAGCAACAACCTCTCAACACACTACCAACCATTTAGGACCTGCACCTCAGCCAAAAGTCCGTCATAACCACTCACTTTTGCCCAGCTAATAAGCTCAAAAGTTTCGCTTGCATCATTTGTTAATCAAAGAAAACAATCCCGACTTTACTTTTTCCATGTCCAGCTCTCAAAATCTAATCTTGGTGTCTCTGTAACCCATTTAAACGCACATTCTTCTCTCTGCCAAGCCTCCATTGATATGCTCAGTGCCAGCTCAGCCCCTCTGAGGTGCCGTACAGGTTTCAAGCCATGTAAAGATGGCCTGGAGTGTGTTATGTACAGCCATGTGTGTGACGGCGAGGCAGACTGCCAGGACGGATCAGACGAAGAGGAATGTGCTACTCTGTGCAAAGCAGGTTTGTTTTGTGCATTGAGCTGGAAAAAGCAACGCCACATTTGGCTACTTTAATTGCATGTAAAATGTCTATGTAGTCATTCAT